CCTACAAGTCAATAAACTATACTTAGTCACTGTTTTGTCATAGACCTCTTCACCTGAAAGTCAATAAATCTGTTTTGTCACTTTCAACAACAATGTTTTTCTTCAAATATTTTTTTTAAAGATACTTCTCTTAGCAAGACTTCTGTGAATGATAAAGTTCCAGTAAGTTATACAAGTAATTTATATAAAAACAAATGTATCCATTTTTATGCATTTGGAGTAATGAAGTATTTGCCATCCTTGGACAACATTTTGTACTTGAAAAAGTTCAAAATGCAAACTGTGGTACATTGTACAGTTTCATCACAGAAAGGTGTGCATTGGCATGAGTTTTAGTGCATTTCAAATAGCAGAGTATTAGTATTGTTCTTTATCAACTGAAAGTTTTTTATCTCTTATTTCCTAGTCACTCTTTTTTTTTCCTGTTCTTCTACCAGAAGAATTTCATAAAATGGAATTCAGAATTTGTCAATTCACACAAAAGACTTTATAACTATTAGTAATTACTGGAAGAATATTGAAAATATTAACCAATTTCTCAATCTTTTTTCTATTCTCTGTATAATGTCTGGTGAATTGAGAAGGCAAAAGTAACATTAGAAAATAAATATCCTTAACACTGTGTGATTTACATAATGTGAAACAAAACAGGGTTGCAAATACATTTCAATACGAATTCATCAACTGGATACTGTAAGTATATTGGTAAGTATGTTGTGAGATGGTGAAATGCTGAACTGACATGCTGAATGTGTATTTAAACGTTCTTTAGTTTGTATGTTTTTATGTCTACTTTGGTTTAACAAAAAAATTGAATAAAACAAACAGTTTGAATGCATGCACTGTTGTTGTAAAATTATTTTGATACCGTTAATATATTCCGACTGGTAAGTACAGTTTTTGTTTGATTTTGAAGTGATATATGTGTATTTTTACGCTTTTTCGTTTGTACATTTTTATGTCTACTTTGGATGAATAAAAGAAATAAACAGTTTGAATGTACGCTCTTTTGTTGAGTTTTTTATTTGATATGCGACGTAAAAAACGAAATATTGGTAGTTTGAGTTGACAATTTATTTAAAAATGAAAGTAGACCAAAATGAAAATGATGGATGCCAAGCTGTCTAGAAGAATAGTTCGAAATTCTTCTAGAGAGTTCATAGAGTATTAAGCTTTATTTAAGTGAATTTATTTACTATAACTAGAACTGTCCAAAAGGGACAAATACCCCCCGCTGGGTTTTTCAGAGAAAGTACCAAATCACTAATGTTTTCTAGATGTGAGAGGTGTTCACAATTTCCTTAAACATTTACAGTGAAAATTTAATTACTCATTATATATTTTTATACGTCCGTCTTACGACGGGACGTATTATGTTATAGTGTTCATGTTTGTCCGTCCGTTAGCTTTTTCATGTCCGGCTCATAACTTTAATACTATTAGGCCTAGAATTATCAAACTTTGTCAGCTGATACATCTAGGGTAGAAGGTGTGTCGCACATTAAAACCAGGTTGCTCTGACCTTTAATAAAGACGCTATGGCCAGATATGGAAAAATCATAACTAGAAAACCATTAGACTAAGAATCAAAAAACTATGTCTTTTAACTCTTAAATTACACAGTCCCAAAAGATGTCAGAGTATTGCAGTATCTTTATTAAAAAAGTGTTAAATCAAGAAAATACTAGTCTTATTTTTTTTTCGCTATGTTCTTTACAGCAATCTGTAACAACAAAAATTCCACCTCTCCCATGAGTGTAATGATCAGGCACTGGTCAAGGAAAATTTTGATAGCAGAAAATTGCATGTCAAATTAGAGAGAAATTAATGAGTTTAGTGTGAGGAGATAACTGGTAGAGCATCTCTAATCAAGCAGGTGTTATCTACATCTCTTGGGAATTGGGCAAAAGGAATCAGTCTCTTAATTAATTGCTTGTGTTGTATTGAATTGTTCTTGTTGGCTAGTCTTACTTTCAAGATAAATTTGATGTAATTAAAACTAATTTGATATTGTATATAATAATTAAAAGTTATATGATATTGTATAATATAATTTAAACTAATTATTTATTGTACATTTTTTATTTGAATTTTTATATCTTTACAACAAATTGCAGACTGCCTTGTCTTGCTAAGATGTCATTCAAACAATTGAATCTAAACTGTTTATGATAATTTAACAATATTTGATGGGTGTATCATGCTGTGGTGGGGCACTTTATTTAATGAATGAAACTAAGGTGCAGCCTAATAAAACATCAACACTAATAATTACAGTGTTTTTTATTACATTGAAAAAATAGTTTGCAACTATCTGCCATCTTTGTGAGACATGACACTCTGCAAATTGATTGTTGAAAAAAAGAATATCATAATTAATTATAGAAAATCAAATTGATTTTAATACCTTTATATCAAACTCATTTTAAAAATAAAAGGCTGGTTTTAGTAACTATGTATTTTGACAGGCATAAATTACAATTAAGAGACTTAGACAACAGAGATCTTTATTTCTTTCTGCCCAATTCCCTTGAGATATAGATAAGACCTGCTTGATCAGAGATGCCCTAACAGCTTCCCACACTGAACTCATTAATTAATCTTTAACTGGATGCATGTCCACTCATTACTCCCAAGGGACAAATGGATTTACACTATCTGCTGTGTAATGTAAAAACTGTTTTTAATACTTTGTGGGGTTTTTTTAGTTCTAATGAGTAGTTTTAAGCTGTAGTTCACATTTTTGTACAGATGTTCTAGATTCTGTGTCTCAAACCTTAGACATGAACCCGAAATGACTAAGTCAATAAATTAAATTAAAAAAAACACCTGTAAAATGCAGAAAAATTATCAAATAATGTTGAAAATACCAGGTGCACATCTTCATATGGTAAATAATAAGTGTACAAATTTTCATACAAATCTATGCAATAGTCTCTGGGAACAGATCCAGACAAAACCACATAATAAAAATGAAAAAAACACCTGTAAAATGCAAAATAATTATCCAATCATAATGAAAATACCAGGTGCACACCTTCATATGGTGAATAATAAGTGTACAAATTTTCAGACAAATCCTTCCAACAGTTTCCAAGAAATGGTCCGGACAAAATCTCGTCTACAGACAGACGGACAGACGGACAGACAGACGGACATGCTGATTCCAATATACCCCCCCTAAACTTCGTTTGCGGGGGGTATAAAAAGTTGAAACAGTAAGTAAATATTGAGATATGATATGCCAGTTAATTTGTATTTCAAATAAACATTAAAAAAACTGAAAGTACATGTCACATAACATGTACAGGTAACTCTCGAAACCTCGAAGTCCGCGGGACCGAGGAAAAACTTCGAGAAATCAAGAGTTCGAGTTTTCAAGAGTCCGGAATTTTCCGGGTTTGTTGACAGGTTTTAAAATTAGTCTTACCGGATGTAATGATTTTCATGCAGTGCTAACCTTTTACACGTGGTTTTTATAAAACAACGATATATTTTCGTAATTCAGATGAATATTTCATTAAACTGAGTAAAGCAAAAATGTATATCGTCATATCATGTATATTTATTTATTCTTTGTAATACGGACATCATACTACCCATTCGTTACATGAAAACGACATTCTACAGCGTCGTACATAGCATTGACTATTCCAAACATGATCACTGAACGAAGTTCTGTAAGTATTTGTCCAATAATAGTCGTCATATTGACATTGAGGCTGTTTCTGCTTTTTTCATATTTCGTTTAACTTTGACACTGACTCGAAATAAAAATTAAATTAGTGTTTTGTCTTTTAATAAATTACTACTTTTCAATGACACTGCGTCTCTAAATTATCGTAAGACAGTCGATGATAATTATTTTAATAGCATATAGGCAAAATATGATTCATTATAAATCAATTATCACCTTGCAGCATAAGTGTCACCTGAATAAACATCCTGTTCCTCGAGACCCGCGTCTTCTGCCTGGGGCCATTTAAATGTCCAGGTAAAGGTGCTAATTATATAATCTTGTATACACATAGCCACTTCGAGGTATCGAGGGTAAATTCTAATAGAATATGCATAGCGGGACTGCATTTTGACTTCGAGGGATCAAGGGTTTCGAGAGATCAAGAGTTTGAGAAATCAAGAGTAAATTTGCTTAGTTATATAGTGGAAAAATTCGGGACCGGAGACTCACTTCGAGCGATCAAGAACTTCGAGAGATCGAAGTTCGAGTCATCAAGAGTTACCTGTATAATACATGTACATCCAATAAATTACATAAATGTCGTTTCATGTCAGACGTCCGACATTAATTTCGGCCGACTATGGTTATTATAATAGTCGCTTATTATAAAGTTTTGGCCTGACAAATAAACTATGATAATAAACGAATTGTACTGTAACATTTACATGTAAATCTTTAGGGGTCATGTGGGTCCCCATCTTCCTGTTTCACTAGCCCACATTGGTATTTTGGGGCCCACGATTTTCTGTCTACTTAGGAAAAAATTGTTGATTTTTTGTATATTTTCTGAGAATTACACTTTGCTGTCCACAGTCTTTCATTTTCCTGCAGATTTCGACACCTTATGTAAGAAATTTGAGACCTCGCATTTGGAAAATTCACTTTGAGACCTCAAATAGTCAATGTTGACACAGTTCAGGGTCTTAAAAGCATTTTGTAAATAGAAAACGGTGAAAACGAAAGTGCATTTACATGTAATAGTGGAATCTCATCAAGGTCAGGTTCCAATGAAATTCTTACTCCCCATGTGGGGAGTATGTCACTTGCATAATTTGCGAGTGAGTGATTGTTACTTGCAACCCTACAAAATACATGTAGATATTTCTACGGAATTACCATCTTCATCATCATCTTCATCTAGCACCACGACTGAGTCATCGAGATCTTCTCCTTCTTCATCACCTTCCTCTTCCTCCTCCTCACTGAAATGACAATGTGTGGATGAATGTCTTTTGTAAATCAGATCATATGATATAACACATACATGTACAAACAATACCAGCCTAAAATTCAACTTTTAGTCGAACAGAGGTGATTAGAGTTCATATGCCCTTTGCAGTGGTGTTAACCTTTGGTTGCAAATACCTACATGTACTTCACCTCTTTGTATTTGAGCTCTATATACATGTATGACACTTTACTGGAATAAAATCTGACCTTGACCTCATGACTTAACACAGGTATGAATGAAATAAACACCTTCTGTAATTCAATTATAATGGTCAAAATGTACACTGTTTTTTGAGCAAAGAACCAAACACAGAAATACAAATGCACTATGCAGAACAACTTGATCCACTATTTCATTTTTTGGCCAAAAAATTAATTAATCATGAAACTTACAAGTAGAAAATAAGAAATGATTGGCGGTATTTAACACAATTAACATTAAATACAGATCTAGAGTGCATTATACCTGTAAGTTCAATAACGTCGATAAATATATATGAATTATTTCAAATTTTTTTAATAGTAAATCAGAACTACACTGTATACCTCACTCCATTTTCATCCATATCAATTTCTGGTGCTAAATAATACTGTAGGGGATTAGGCCACATGTCATCTTTAATCACCTGTTGTAATCAAAAGAAATCAATCAAAAATATACTTCCAGTTTGCAAGAAAAAAACTTCATTTTATATTTAAGTTTCTAATTAAATTCTAGTTTCTGCTTTTTGATAGACATTGTGTGGCTTTATTTTGATTGAATAGGAATTCCGTTATAAAACTTGCTTTGTAAATAGGAATGAACATCCCTAAATGAGATCTAATTGTACTCTTCAACTTTAAAAATAAACTTCAACTATTTTAAGTAAACTAAGCAATATCTTAAGAATACAATAAGCTTGTAATAGTTCTGTAAGCAGCAACAGCTACAGCCCCATACTTCTGCTATATCATCAGCTGATGGATCATTGACATCACTGAACCAGGTGAAAAAAGTCCGTCCACTCCCACGACGGCGCTTTCGATTAGTCTGTTGTTGTGCCCTCTTTGTAAGATCCATTCCCTCTTTCCAATTAATTTCTGTGGAATTGGACTCAGGATCCCCTATTGTATATAGTACAACTTCAGTTTGAATTGTTTTCAGTGTCAAAAAATAATTAATATACATCTACATATACATTCTACATTGAAATGTCTCTATTCACTATTTCAAACTTAGTCTAAATATTGAAGATTTTTACCTGTGTTAGCCAGGTGAAACTCTTTAGAAATAACCTCATTACTGAAGTAAGGATTACTTGAGAATTTAAAGCTGATTCTGTACCCAGATTTGATATCATCAAACTCCTCCACACTGACCTAGAAAATACATATATCATACAATGAACCATCAGTTTAGAATTCTACTTTTGGTCTTACATGCATATAACTAAGAGTGTGATCTTTGAAATCTTAAAGTCTGCACACAGTCTGTCTGTCTATCAAGTGTTTATCCAAATTGAATGCTGAGGGAACAGTGAGTGAACAGATAGCAAATGGTACATAATGTGAATGTAGACTAGAGCAAGAGATTACATGTCTGCTGCCTGGAAAAGGGGGGAGGAAGGATTCTTGCAATTTTAAGAATCAATAACAAACATGATTTTTGGAACATTTAGCACCACATGAAAGTCAAAACCTCTGACCCTGAAGAGGGAGGTACTGTTTTCCATAACTTACTGTAGTTAAATAATGCAGACATTCTTCTTCCTCCTCGTCAAGGATGGCTGAGATCTGGGGGTGGTTCATGAACTAGTAACAGCTAAGGAACTTTTTTTTTATCAATTATAGAAAAGCTTTTATTATAAGCAACTACACATAATATGTAACTTTAATTACATGTACCCTCAATTTACACAAGAACAGTAAATAGAGAAGAAAAAAATGACTATTTAGGGTAAGTTAGCGCATGAGTTCGTTCTCAACTATAAAAAAAAAATACAGCTTGAATTAGAGGAATAATCTTGAGACAGTGTTATATTAATCAGTCTGGGGCGAGGCTGAAATCTGTCATTCTGAAAAATGATGGGTAATTTTCAGGTTTATTAACCATGGTAATTACGTTTTTTCGTCATTTCAATATGACTAACTATCGTCATATTTTTATTTTCAAATTTATTCATCTACCCCCGTTAAATATAAGCGAGTTTTAAATTTACCACTGAAATAAGAGTACTTACGCAATTTTCATTTAATCCGAGTTACTAATTCCTGCTGACCACATGCTTTAGAACATCCACATAAAAGGGAAAAGTTGTTATTTTATTGGTAAAATGTTTAATTTTGGTAGAATTTGCTACTTTTACACAGCTTTTACTCAATAATAACATATATTACACTGTCTTGCAATATACATATGTGTAGAGAAATGTCTTAACAATAAATTTAAACAATGAAAAATAAGTGCACCCCGTAAAACAAGTGAGATATTCCAGTGCATCTGGACCCTCCATTTTGGTCAAAAAGAAGAAATATCGTTATTTTCATCTTCAGTATCTTTACTATTTTGTGCAAATAATTTGACAACTCTTCCAGTCTTCTTTTTGCTTGTGAATTTGTCACTGTCAACATAACCAGTATTGTAATCAACTACATTTGAGAAATGAAGTTTGTTTACAATGTTTTCTATACTTTTTGGAGGTTGGTGGATGTAACATTTTTTAAAGAGAGGTAACTCATTATTCTAGAAACACTCCAAATTTTGATGACTGTTTTTCTGAATCATCATTTTCTTAAAAATGATGAGTTTTAGTCATAATCAAAAATTAATCTTATGACTAGTATTCATCATTTTCATAATGACGGATTTCAGTCTCACCACTGACTGTTAATAGGGGATAATTGATTTTATTTCAAATTTCCAAGCTAAGGAAATCAGCTCGAATAAATATGGGATAATTTCTAATACAGCAATGTATTCAGATATCATACACAACAAATTGCACAATTAAAGCACAAGTTTTTGTAATCATGCTGAAAGTAAGGGAATCAAAAGTGAAATGGAAGTGGCAGATCTGCCCAGCACCAAAAAGATATACAGACTACTGTGGCACAACAATATCTGAACATAGTGATTATACAGAAAGAACACATATTATATAACTATAAGCTTTTCAAGAATTGTCCTAGGGCCTAACAGAGACTCCTCTAAAGCAACTGTCATGCTTTTCTATTAGGATGTTACCAGACGTTACATCCAAATAGAATAGGGTGTTGTTTGTTTCAGATTATCATACATGGCTTTTTCTGTTTTAAAGATTTACTCCCTAGTATAATAATAATAACACAGGTATTGAACTATAACAATTACATGGATACTCCCTTCCTGAGAATTGCAGTCATTTTCTCTTTCAGAGAGAACACAGTTTGAAAGTGTCTCCTACCATTTTCTTCTACAATAATTTATCTAAAAACTATACATACGGCATTCTTGCCTTAATTTATCTACAAAACCATTGCCTTAACTATTATCTCTTTTCAGCATAAACTGTGTTAAAACATACTACTTAACAACTGGAAAAATTGTTTCACATTCAGTATGCATCTATTGCTCAAAGAGCAACATTCTGATGCAGTTTACCCGTAACACAACACAGGCAAGTGTGCCACATTTGGTTTTGCAGAAAAATTATTGTAGAAGAAAATGGTAGAAGACACACTTCTACTGCGCTTCCTCTGAAAAGGAAAATGACTGCAATTCTCAGGAGGGGGTCGTCATGTAATTTGGCGTTAGATACCTTGTGGTGCTATTATAATAGAGGGTAACCTTTTATTACAGAAACAAGTGCCTGTAATGGCTGACCATGTTGACATTTGATACATAATAAAGGATACAGCAGTAATCCAAAAGTTGGAAATGTTCTTGATCATTTCATTGCGCTTTTCATAATGTGGTTTCCTCAGTTTGTTGTACTTCTGTTCTACTTTCAGGATTTCTTCACTAGCTTGTTCGTTCAATGCATCAATTTCATTCTGACAAGCATCTATGTCTTCTAAAACCTTTTGTGTTGCAGGATCAAAATCTTGACTTTGATCACCTTCAAACGATGAGTCAGTTTTGGACAATTTGGCCCGCTTTGCAGGTGAAGCTTCTTCTGCAGACATAACTCGCGAGTATTTTTCCTGCAATGTAAAAATCAGAACTCTTTCAACTTTGTTTTTCACAAATTGCGGGAAGATGCACGCTTACTTTCCGAGTTCCCGATACTTCTTTGTGAAATCTATTTTGATTGGTGGATAAAAGGTACCGGAAATGTAAAATCTCAAAAAGATCCAATCAAAATATATAAAACAAAATCATGTTCGGTCTCTCTGTTTACATCCGGGAAACTAACTTGTCAAACAAAATGGCCGACGAAGAAACGACAGACCGCGAAGATGCAAGTAGTTCATCTGGAAATAATATCTTTGAAATTCTGCAAAAGCAGTCGAAAGTTGATGCTTCTATGCCACAGGTATGTGTTAAACTTGAAGACATAGCTGACATAAACGGAAAAGGAAAGAAAGACCAATTTCTATTTCGTAACCTACCAGGACTGCATGCTGCACACGCTGTCGATACGATGTATGTTTCATCAGACAGCAAACATGATTCTAATATGAGTGAAGATTCGTGTTCGTACTCTGAAACAAAACGACCGCACTTAATAGTGTCACAACAAGGAGGTCAGATTCCTGATCCATGCATCAGTCCCGATACTGGTAAAAGAAAACGCATACAACACGATTACAGACGTCTGTCAAATTCTGGATATCTAGATGATTATATTTGTCGTGAAGGAAGATTTTCATCAACAAGTGATTCGGATATTGGAATTTCTCCATCACCTCCTAAAATTAAAGTAAAACCAGTCACAAATGGGACATCAACTGGATCAGGAAAAGGTGAAGTATTAAACTATTATACCAAGTATATTATGAACGTGGTATTTAGATAGAAATATCCATTTGTGTCTCGGGACAACCTCTCACCACAGTTAAAATATTTATCAACGGAGTCTCCATTGATAAATAAAGAGCAGTAAAACTGTTGATGTTGCCTATCGGATTATATATAGCAAAACTTTTTGACTGAACATTATTTATACGGGTATACATGTACAAGAAAGACAAATGAAATCTAATTAATGTTATATACAGTCATTTGTTATGGATGGTGGTTAACTTTATTTTCACCAGATTTTGATTTTTAAAAAATAAGGTTTTAACACCCTTATATTCTAAACGATTTTTAAAGATCGGCTTCACTTTACACACTAGGCCAAAGCTAGACAGAATGTTCTATCGGTAAAATGATATTTTCCTATGGACCTGGTTTAACGATAGTATTCGTTCCGTGTGTTTGCAATGTAGCAGAATAAACATGGGTTATAACTCCAACTTAATTCATTTACTACAAACAATTCAGAGAGTTCCAAATGTCAACATGGCACATAAATGTGAAGTGATAAAAAAATTTGAGAAAATGAGTTGAAATTTCGTCTCTTTATGGATCATTTTTTAGGATAAAAGGCATATACAAGCTCAATAAGTTTTGTTATGATTATTTTCAATTGGTACTTATTTTCAGTGCAACTCCTTTTGTGTTCTTCAAAATCATTTTGGAGCGGATCTGCTCCGATTTGCTACATTGCAACTATATGGGACGTATTCTATCTGTGGTGAGGGCTTGTCCCTAGAAACCGTTAGATTATTCTAACCAGGCTGAAGACAGAGATATAAGAGACATGGCCTTATTTACTATGTTTATTTCCCGTATTAATTTTAATGACCTGACGCATGAAAATTGCAAGCATAAGCAGGGATTGTGATAAAAAAGGACAATATTGATACAGATGTCACAGTGCTTCATTGCAGGTGCATATCAAAATTTAATTTTCCTATTTATTTTTCTAGTTTCCTCTCCAGTTAAGAAAGAGATCCCTTTGAACTATGGAGGACAAGATATTAAGGACAGTCCAGTCAAAATAGAACCACCTGTAGAGAGTTCAGAAAAGAAGCACCACCACTCTCACCCTAAACACCACAAGCACCACAAGCATAAGCACCACAGTGAAAAAAGACACCACTCAGATCTGTTCAACCAGTATAGGGACCAAGGGTCATCCCCTGGGAAAAGCCTCTCAAGTGAAATTACAGAATCTCCACAGAAGACCTATGTACTTAGTCGTGATGATGTCACAAATACGATTAGGATATCATCAAGCAAGAAACGGATCGTTAATAATTGTGGGGTGCAGGTGAATCTTAAGAGGAGAACTGAAAACAAGTATGTGCAGGTGAATTTGTCAAGAAGGCATGAATCAGCTGGGGTTCAGACTACAGAGAAAGTTAGTGTGAATGGACATAGTATTAAGTCTACTGCAATCACTGGTCCTAGAGTTTCAAGGGGAGTCCAGACTCAAGCATCACAAAGTCTGGAAACAAAAACACTAAAATCAGCTGAAACTTGTCCAAGAGTATTAGAGGTAAGAGATGAGCATAAAAAGACTGAAACTTCAACAGATTCCAAAGTTGTCAAAGTCCATTCAAGCAAGGCTTCAGAAGTCAAAGGAGAGCACAGAAAGACTGAAAAAGTAACTGATTCTAAATTTGTCCCACGTAGCAAGGATTTATCAGTTATCAAAGACAGCCCTCTTGTGAAATCAAAATATAAGAACCTTATGCATTTGGAGCAGTATCCAAATGGTGGTGCATTAGTTCTCCATGTGTATCAGAGTGAAATATCCAAACTGTCACCTGAGCAGATGGAGGAGTTTGTGAGGGATTTCTTTGACTTGGTTTATGGTGAGTCCACAGAAGGAGTGTCTCACTGCGTCATGGGCATCGTTCATGATGCTTTAGCTAACATGCCAGATTTCATTGATTACTTTGCAGAAAATCACCCAGAAATCACTGTCAAAGCAGGAGTTCTTGGAAAATCAGATATTGAGACCATGACCATGTCAAAATATCAGGAGCAAATGATTAAGTCCTACATGAATGGGACTTTCCGATGTGGCCCACTCTTACAGATCAGTTTAGTGGGGACAGTGCATGAGGAGGTGGGAGGGTACTTCCCAGCATTTTTAGACATGCTGGAATCTGACCCCTTTCTGAAGGTTGTCATGCCCTGGGGGGTTAGATCTGTGGTCCCAGACATGCCCAGGAATCGCAGTAATGATGGTCCCATTCTGTGGGCTAGGCCAGGAGAACAAATGGTACCCACTGCTGATATGCCAAAGTCACCATTTAAAAGGAAAAGGTGAGAAATTAATTTTTTTTAAGCATAGTTAGAAGTGAATAATTGTGGATTAGGCCAAATAAAAAAATATGTGTGGTTCCGGTTACCCGACCGTCCCTATTTTATACCCCCGACCCTAAACTTTTTTTTGGCAATTTTCATATTTTTTCCAGAATTTTCCCCAATTTCCATCAATGGCTCCAGTTTAAGTTTTAGTTTCAGCAATGACAGCCCCCTTGCACAACATAGTGCAAGTGTTTATTAGTGTTAAATCCAAAGCAAGCTAGCATGTAGGTGTCCCCTACCAATAATGACTAGTATATTATCACTACACATCTAAATGTCATTTGCAAAGTAGTGATAAGTATTATTTAGAAAAATTAAGAAAATCATTTTGTAAAAAAAAAAAAAAAAATAAAAAAAAAAAAACCCTACCTACCTTCCCTAATTTTTTTGGAGGTGTAACCGGAACCACACATATTTTTTTGTTTGGCCTTAGTATATCAAGGTATTGATAAGAAAGTCAAAGTAATACATGTAATTTACATATAGCATAATTTGTGGATATGGCTAAGTAAGTTCATAATTTGTTCTTTTCCAATATGTCAAATAATTTTTTATGTTTCTTGAAATGGTCAACATTTCTCTTAAATTCTGGATTTGGAGTGATGTAGAGTTGCCTAAGAGTAAAGACTGTAGTTACAGTTTCATTATGCAATATAATGTCACAATGGAACTTCAAAGATGTGGGAAATTTTAAAGGGGAAAAAAGTGCTCTTTTCATTGAATTCATAGCCAGTAATGTGCTAATTTCCCCAAAATACAGCCACATTTTCCTATTTAAATTTTAAATGTTCCTTTAATGTAAATATAAATTTAAAGATATGTTCATTATGTATTGAGAGAAAAATTACAAAATGGCAGTGACCTTGTAAGATTTAAACTGATTTAGAGAAAAATATGACCTTAATTGATTATTTTCCTACTTCACTAGATAACAGTGGAGGTATTGAATATAAAGTCTTACTTTAAAGGGATACAACTTGTGAGAGTCAGGACACTGAATTAATAAAACAATCTACCATTTTAAAAAAATAAAAAAAACTGTGGAATTTTCAATACTGAATAGACAAGTTCTTTCGCTCATGAAGTGTTTTAAATGTATAATCATAGCTCAGCCTCTTTATAAATCTTTTTTTTTTGTATAGAAAATTAAAATTAAAATTATCCATTGCATTATAGGGGACTTAATGAGTTAAAGAATCTCTCCTACCTCCCTCGAGCCTCTGAACCTCGGGAAAACCTGGTGGAGGATCGAACCAGGTGCCATGCCGACCATGTAGGACATGGATTTGACCGAATGACCACCGCAGCCGTAGGAATGCTGAAGGCAGTCAAAACCAAAGAGGAAGGGTTAGTTCATTAAATACATGTATTAGATTTAAAAGAAAACTATAAGCCAGTCAGTGTAAATTAAGTTGCTGGTGATGTAGGTAGTCGACAAGATTTCTGATGAAAGTTGAAGCTGGTTTGCCTGTAGTTACTTGTCAAGGAGTGCACTGGTAACTGGACGTAATCTTTTTTCTTTTAAATAGGGTGAAAAATTAACAATTTAACTTAACATACTTCCATATGGTGTAGTGGACTAATTATCTATAAAATTATCTATACTTGGCACATTTTAGACATTCTGAGTGAGAGCTGTTACTTGTTGGTAATAATTGACAGTGTTCAAAAGTTGCTCTTTCTTTCCTTTCAGCAGCTGTGACTCGCGGGTTGTTAAGGATGTCATCTGCTTTCATTCAGGAGATTTTGTACAGCTTGTGGACAAATTACAGCTTGATCTTCATGAACCACCTGTGTCACAGGTAAGTAATGCAGAATAATTGGTGGTGATGAATTACACTATGATTTATTATACTAAATCATGCAGAATAAAGTGAGAGTATCTTAGATGTCAACATCCTGAATCAATGAAATGATTTTCAGTGAATGAATGCATGTTGAAGAAAAATCCATAGATGTTTATGTACCTTTGTACCATTGAACTGAAATCTTACAGACATCTAAATAATTTAGCAATAGATGTGTGCAAAAACTATGTTTAAAAATGGAAATTTGGAGGGGGGGGGGGGGGGCTGGGTGGGAAATCACTTTAACAATCACTTTAAATAAAAAATTTCAGGGAGGATTAGGAAATCACTTACTGTAAAAGTGAAAACTTTGACGATGTAGAAACGGTGATGAAATTGATGAATGTCTGAACATCCTCAAAGTTTCCAATTGTCATCTTTCTAATTCCTGTTAAAGAGGACTGTAAAATGCTTGTAGATCATCAACGTTTCCACTTGCCATTTTTCTAATATACCGAAATCGTCAAACTTTCAACCCATCAATATAACCACTTTTACAGTGCCTGCATAATGTTTTTCAGTGTGTGGCCTGGGTTGAGGATGCTAAATTAAACCAGCTACGCAGGGATGGAGTACGCTATGCAAGGATCCAACTGAGAGACAATGACATTTACTTCATTCCCCGTAATGTGGTGCATCAGTTTAAGACAGTGTCAGCTGTGACCAGCATTGCCTGGCATTGTCGTCTGAGTCATTACTATCCAGATCTACCAAAAGAGGAGGAGACTTCAGAAGAAACAATTATCCAACCAACAGAATCAGAGAACAAGCCCAAGAGTGTCCCATTAGATACAGTACACTCGCAGAAGACTCATTCTACAAACATTACTGAAAAGAAGGAGAGGACACATTCATCACATAATCTGGAGAAGAAAGAAAAGACGGGAAATCATGTGACTCCTGTGAAAAAAGACAAGGGGCATTCTTCTGGGACTTCAGATAGGAGAGACAAAGTTCCCTCAAGTGGCACTCCTAAGAAGAAGGAGTTACACAAGCATCAGAGTACAGGAGAGAGGAGTTCCGAAAAATCTCATAAACACAGCAGTTCAACAGAAAGTCCAGAGAAATCCTACAAACATCACTCAAGTTCATCCAGTCACTCTGAGAAGTCCTTAAAGAGATCCCATGAAGGAGTGTCGGACAAAGATGGTGAGCTTAAAAAGAAGCATGTTAAAGACACTCTTCCTGAAAAGGCACTGAAGCATTCAAGTCTCTCAGAAAAACTTCATAAACATTCAGTTTCCAAGTCTAGTCCCTCAAAAAGTCACCATCATAGAGAAAATTCCAAAGAAAAATCGTCCAAGCATCACTCAGATTCACCAAAACGTGATTACAGTGACAAGTCCAGAAAGCATCATTCTAGCTCCTCAGGAAAAGAAAGTAGGGACAAAACACCTGTGAAAAGACCCAGTTCTTCTGTGGATGGTTCCGGAGATTCCACACCTGTGAAAATGTCCAAAACAGAATGGCAGCAAAGTAGGGAGAAGACTCCAACAAAATTCCCAATTTCTTATTCGAGTTCTGGAGGTGGAAAGGAAGGAATTCATCATCAGCCAACACCAGAAAAACACAGTCACAGTCATACCTCAAGTCAGTCTGAGAAAGCTCACCCCATACAGACATTAATCACTGGGCAAGACAATGTTGTTACCAAAAAAAGTGTGAGTGAGAATACATTTACTTTAACAAAGGAACCTCAAGGCACAGAATATAAGGCGAGAGGTGAATCTGTTTTAATCTCACATTTTGAAAGAATAAACCACGATGTTCAGTCTCCAAGCAGGATATCAGAGGATGAGAAAAGTAATACAGCGTATATGAAAAAAAATGAGAATTCCCTTCATCAGGAAGAGAGTAATGTTTCACACAGTGAAAAGACTGATGCTACAGAAAAACAAGGAGACAGAAATGTATCAGATGAGCATGTGCCTGATGAACAGAAGCCTACAGTGAATACAACCAATTCTGATTCCTATCCAGCTGTGACTGATGTAAATACTTTGTTTGAAAAAGAGTTCAAAGACTCCCCTGTTACGTCCACGTTAGTGGATCTTCAGAATAATGACAATGTGGAGATTTCTTTATCAAACGAGTTGGTGGAAAATCCACATATTGTGGAAAGCAGTGGAGAAGTAGTGTAGGCCTTCACTCTGTAAAAGGAGACAGAAGATTAGGGTTGTACACGGATATACATGTATTATAATTATAACCTTTCTGTGTGTTCTTACTGTGTAAAGCTTTTTTTCTAGTTTTTGACTAGTTTTTGAAAAATATTGCATTTTCTGATAAGAATAATTGTTATGTTTGAGTTAGAGGTGAACCCATCTCATCATTCATTCTCACTGTACAAATTTAAACAAGCAGTTTATTAGTATTAGCCAAGACTGCAATTATCTAACGTAGTTTAGTTAATATAAACATTGTGCAAGATGAGAGTGATTGTTTATAGCTGCCGTCTTACATGTAATGATCCTGTATTTTTGTGTTTAATGCATACTAAAATATGGCCATTACAGAATTTTAATAAGAAGGCTGATAATGAAATATAAAATCCAGTCATTTACATTTTGATTTTTTACAGTTTAAAATTGCAAGACATTTCAACTTTCTCTTCACTTGCTTTCTACAGTTGTACATAGCCATGCTAGAGCATAAAATTGTGAAAAAACTGCTTTAATTAACATTTTATTTATTTTTAAAATTTGAAATTGCAAGTAATAATGATTTTTTTTTTTTACACAAAGGCAGCTACCTTCTTGTAGGGGATCATTTTACCTGCAAGACTTCTACATTGAAAGATAAATGTTTGTAATCATGTTCAATATTTTAAGTTGAGATCTCTTTACAATTGAAATAGACTTGGATAAATGCAATTTTATAGATAATTTTAATTCAACTTGTGTGTCACAAATTTGTTATACTGTGTATATTATAACTCTCAAGATGTGTGTGTATTCAACATGTTCAAGCAGTCAAATGAAGTGGTGCATCTCACAGAAAGCCGTAAGTAAAGTCAATCAGTTTCTGTTCGAAAAGTGACCACCAGGTACATAGTAACAATGACACAACAGTGTTGTACATCTAGATTATACATACACAAATTTATGATGTCATTTCAGTATAAATGATGGATTGTGAAGATCTCTTTATATGTAATTTGTTTACTAAAAGAATGTCATTAATATCACATGTGTTTAATTTTAAAAAAAATGGCTTTTTACAATCCTCAAGGAAAGCACCAGGATTAATGTGCATAAAAATCAACTTAGATTTGGAAACATTATTTTCTTTGCGCTGTTCTATTTTTCTGTATATAAGTAGTATATAGGTAATTGTCTCAAATATTTTGTTTTTCCTTTAAGATCATGAAGTGCTACTTTCAATAATATTTGAAAATGTCTGATACATGTTAATAAACAACATTTACAACTCATTTTGTCAATATTATTTTAGTTATTAAATTAAAGTGTATTAAAGAGTCCCAAGATTTTGTGTCAAGATGCAAAAAAAAAAATGTCCTCAAAGCAGAACGAAATGCAAGCTTGATCTATAACACATCATAATAAAAATCAAGTTTATTATTTGTTAGAAACCAAATGTTTGTGTAAAACTGATGCCTCCTTATAGCAGGTCTTGGCCAAGGTTAAGGTCTTTCAAAATAGGTCAAACTCCAATATCATGCAAGGTCAGGAGAAAAATTTTGGTACCCCAAAAAAGGTCTTGTCACTGAATTTACAAGCCCTTGCACCAAGCGTTCAAAAAATACGACCAATTTGGAAGTGTTGAAACTACAATAAAATTAAACTTTCTTGTGCTTTTTAAGTTCTGACACTGTACTAAGTTCTGTTGAAATACAAATCATTCCGAGATCTACTAAGCAAGCGCATATGGTAATAATATCTGTCAGTATCTTTTTCTAATAAAAGGCGAAGATAACGAACAATTTGAAGATGGTTTTTTGTTTTGTTTCTGTGATTAATTTTTTAACCCGTAGTATAATAATATTATTCTTTAAGTTAAAAATATTACAGAACTGAACAAGTGCCTGTGTGTGGAAGGAGATTTTACTCGACTCCAAAAACTTAACTCATAGTATGCTTAGTTATATATAAATTTAGGCTTTTATGGTGAAAAAAAAACAGAGACAACTTAGTACTTCAAAGTAAAAATAAATCAATCATGAATGTAAAAAAAAAACTACGAGAGACGTTCAAAAATTACACGGATTTGCTACACACACACACACACAAAATTATTCGACGACCAAAACACACAAGAGTCACACATACACATATTTTAAAAGATTCTTAACCATATAGTGGTAAACAAAATTTCATTAAAAATATTGTAAATTAAGATCAGTTTTGAGTGTTTACTTAGGAGATGTTTCCATTGATTTCATCTTTTAAAAATAACCTGTAGTGTTAGAATTTTATCATTTATATTATGCATGTTTATGTCTAGCTGCAGAACTGTAGCTCTCCGACAAAAAATATATTGAGGTCGTCCATCCCAATTTTTTTTTTTCAGACCAGCGAGCTACAGATTTCTTGTGTCTATTTTTCTGTACATTCACCCTATATGTTTTCATTCTCCATTTTGGTATGTAAATGGCAAATGTTCGAAGGAATACACATTTTGTTTCGGTTCCACGTTCTTTGATGATGGGGTTCACGCTGTACACGTAGTATTCCGAAATATCTGACGTTTTCCAGGCGTTTTTCATGATTTTGGTATTTCACGTGCCAGGAAACGTCAAATATGAAAATCGTGAAAAACGCCTGGAAAACATCAGATATTTCAGACTAACGCTGTATAGGTAAGAGGAAAATTAAAATACGATATTTTCACTTAGCTCTCAAATTTGTTTGCACAATTTTTTTTCTAAGTTCAAGGGACATAACTTAATTCAAATTTGACCTGTATTTTCTGATAAAATACCCGCACACAATTTCAGCCTTACATAGTGATACATCCCTACAAAAGTTAGAGAGCAGAAACTGAAAATTACTTTTTTTTTCTAAGTTCAAGAGGGATAACTCTGTCAAAAATCATCGGACCACGACCAAATTCAAACTTGACCTGTAATTTCTAGTAAATAAAATACCTGCACATGCAATTTCAACCTTATACATACATCCCTACAAAAGTTAGAGATGGGAAACTGAAAATTTCTTGTTTTTTTTTTTCTAAGTTCAAGAGGGATAACTCTGTCAAAAATCATCAGACCACGACCAAATCTGCATATATATGCAATTTCAACCTTATGCAAGTTAGAGAGCGGAAACTCAAAGTTTCTTATTTGTGTGCGAAAGTAAGGACAACATTGGATAGCGAGTTGCCTCGCTTACTTCGTGTAGCTATAATGTTTCTAAAGGGTACATATCAATTCAATAAAATTATCCTCATCAACTATTCAAGGGAAAATACAGCAAATGATTAGTTGGAAAGAGGTCTTTTCATCTCTGTCTGTTCTTCTTTTGGATAGATCTATCTCTTTGTCTGTCTGCCAAGGCCATCTCTATTAACATTTAGATAAATTCTAGAAAAAAAGTGACTTACAACAATTAAATACTGATCTATGATGAGAATCTTATAGAGATGTCGATGTAAATCTAAGACTGTTTTTTATCCCCGATACCTGAAAGATATATTGCAATTGGGTAGATTGGTAGTATGTCAAGTAATTGCCAGAAAAGTTGGGTTGATAGATTGAACAGCTCAGTGTTCTTCTGTGAAAAGTTAAAGGCTCATCCTACTGAATCTCTAATGCCCCTGGACTGTTAATCTAAATAGCATAATTTTGTCTTAAACTTTAGGATTACAGTGTATAATTGTTTTCGAATTACCTGACTTCACAACCAAAGAGTTAATTTAATAGGTGAGTAACTCCCTTAATTGAATAGTTGATGAGGATAATTTTATTGAATTGATATGTACCCTTTAGAAACATTATAGCTACACGAAGTAAGCGAGGGAACTCGCTATCCAGTGATGTCCTTCCTTGACTTCTGTTTGAATAAATTCATTTCCTAATCATTTAGTATATGTGTTTTTATTGATTCATCATTTAGTATATGTGTTTTTATTTTTTCTTCAATGCTTACTTCAAGTCGAGCCACGTTCCAAAAAAATATATTACCGACACATGGTTTCAAATGACATCGAATTGAATGTCTTCCAGTGGTGGTTTCATTTTGGAATTACTGTAATACTTGTAGATCTTTAAGAAAAATGTAATCGAATGTTACTGTGCAAACTATCTACATATATAAATCTGAAAGCATACACAGAATCTAGGACACCTGCAATTACGACAACTTTGCAAAGAATCCTGCTCTTCTTGCAGAATGCCAAACTTACTTTGCTTGAAAATATAGTGTTTGTATACGTACACACCAAAATATACTTATAGTATTTGTGTATTTTTCATACTTTTTAGTAAACATAGAGTCAAAAAGGAAGTTTTTCACAGAATCAAGATCGCACAGACTCTTATTGAAAATTTTTCTTCTTCCTTCCGCCATTTATCTTTTCTCCGTCTTGATTTTATTCCAAGATAGCGGCACAGCCGTCATATACATGTACATGACTTGTATATACTTTTAGTATTTTGCATCAGTAGTTCTATCTTCCATTCAAAAATCTTTCCTTTATCTTGATTTTCTGCCGACCACCTTTTTCCGCCATTTCTTGATTTTATTTCAAAACCGGATCCGGATGAACGTCAGAAATAAGAGATTTTTGTCAATTATTTTACTATTTTCACTTTTCTTCTATAAAAAAAATGAACAATTTTCAAATTTCCTTTTTTAAATATTTCTGTCTTTTTTTCATCATTAGAGAAGTCTCTTTGTGCATTTACTACTTGATTAATTTCGAATTATATTAAACTAACTGCATGCATAACAAATTATTTTTTTAAACAATGAATCAATATAACAATATAAATTTCATCGTGCCTTTTTTCGTTTTTCAGCTGCGTATTGAATTCAATACATCAGAAAGCCTACAGGCGAGTTTTTGTTTTTGTTAGGCTAATTTTGTTTTGTTTTCTTTCTTAAAAAGACTTGCCATAAAGATGAGGCTTTGTTTTGACGTCACTTCAGGTTCAATACACAAGCTTAAGGTCAGACGACACGTTCCTCAATAATATATATATTTTTTCTAAGAATTTGTCATTGAAGTATTGCTACTTTACCAAGTTTCCTCACAAGAAATTAAGATATACCTTACCAGGCATTTGTCCAAGATACCACAGGATGCTATTTATCATATGATCCTATTGGAAATCACTAGCATTGCCAATATTACAATGTGTGATGTCTTTTGATGTCTTTATCTACTTTATAGACATTTTGAAAAAAAGTTTAAAAATCACATGACAATGATAACCGTGATGAATTTGTTGCATATTACGAAGAGATACAAAACAGATATTCGAGCAACGTGTCGTCAGACCTTTTAAGTATTTATTAAATTTAAAGCTAAAATCTAATTTTTCTTCATCTCCTCAGCTGGACCACAGAATCCTGATGGCCAGACACACGTTTATTATGCCATATAAAATTTATATACTACTGTGTTTCCTAATATACTTTATTGTCCCCCACTTTCGCGAAAGCGAGGGGACATTAAATCTCATTCGTCTGTCAGTATGTCTGTCACAAAAACTTTATCTTGGTCATAACTTTTGAATGAGAAGAGGTAAGGTTTTCATTTTTTCAAATATACATTACCTGTGACAAGACCTTTCCAAACATACTATGGTTTTTGATCCCGTGACCTTGAAGTTTGACCTACTTTTCAAAAATTTTAACATTACTTTAAATTGGTCATAACTTTTGAATGAGAAAAGATAGGGCTTTTATGTTAAAAAGTACATTACCTGTCACAAAACCTTTCCAAATATACTATGATTTTTGACCCGGTGACCTTGAAGTTTTGACCTACTTTTTTAAAAAAATTATCTTTGCTTATAACTTTTGATTGAGAAAAGATGGGGCTTTCATATATGACTTGTGCATTACCTGTGACAAGATGTTTCCGAGCATGCTATGATTTTTGACCCCTTTACCTTGACCTTCATGTTTGACCTAATTTTCCAAATTTTAACAGTGGTGATTGCTTTTGAAAGACATGTGATAGGGCATTCATATTTGACAAGTGCATTACCTGTGTCAAAATGTTTCTGAATGTACTATGATTTTAACCCCATGACTTGACCTTGAAGTTTGACCTAATTTTCAAAAATTTTAACATTGCTGACAACTGTTATGGCATTTACATTTGACATGTGCATTACCTGTTGCAAGACCTTTTCGACTGTATACTCTGATTTTTGATATTTTTTTCACATGTGCATTGCCTGTGATAAGACTTTTCGGATTGTACTATAATATTTGACCCTCTCGACCTCATGATCTTGAAGTTTGATGTAGTTTTGAAAAGCTATAATCTTTGCCATAACTGTTATCAATGCAATAATTTATGTCTTTTTTGTATGATGCACAGACAAGACAGGACACACAAAACAGACAGTTACAATATGCCAGAAATACCACTAAGACATCGAAATCGGGGGACCACAATTTCTTTAAATTCGCTTGTTTTAACAAATAAAATACATGAATACATGTACAAGATAGCCATGTTAACCATGTTGTATTTTTATTTGTTAAAATAAGGTATATCAGGAAAGCCATACTTTTACCCAAACATGAAGAATTTTGTTCAATGCAATGAAATTTGACTGATCTGTCAGGAACTCGGTATTGGCACTGAGGGGGAAAATATACATAAGAAGTAAGGATATTCAAGCAATATTGCTGTCGTCATAAACCACACGGCAACCTCTCGACATCGATTAATGGACACTCATGGGACTGTCGGTATACTGGTAAATCATAGGTCGTCAACGATTCTTGTAACTTCATCATAGAAGGAAGCTCAGACTTTGTAACAGATAAAATGGTATTTATTGAACGTTTTCTTTCAAAGTAACATGTAATAAATCATAACAATTATTATATATTACAATTAGTAAAAACAAAAAAAGAAACTTTCGGCCATAGTCAGCGCTGATTTAACAATACTAATTAAAAAAATCAGCGCTTCAATTTCAATTAGCTCTGAAGTATTATACATAACATCATCAAACCGCATCTTAAACATCATGATCATTGTTATCAACATCAATATTTGCATGGTTAAATTTAAGGTCATAGTTCGCAGTCGACCATAGCAACGATGTTTGATGTGAACTCGTATAAATTGAAATTCTGAAACATGACACATTGTGCCAGATATTATGGCGACTATAACAATGGAATATAAATTAATGTAATCAATTCAATTGTTCATCAAAATATAATGTGTATATATAAAACAATGAAACGTTGTAAAATGTTTGCTTATGCGGAATATTATCAAGAACAAAAGCACTCATACAATATGTTTATCCTAAAGCACCAAAAAAGTGGATTTCTTTGAGCATCACCAAATTGATGGATAGCGAACATGATTATACAGTGTCTGATTTCATTTAAATACCAATAATTTAAACGAAAGTTTCAGCTTGTAACTGTAAGAATCCTACAGAACTCAGTTTATTTCATGGAGGGAATGAAAAACAACCTGAGAGAGGTTTCAGGAACAGTCGACAAATTTACAGGAACAGTTGTCAAGTTTACAGGAACAGTCGACAAGTTTACAGGAACAGTCGACAAGTTTATAAATCCCTGAGAAGATGGAAGCTGGCTTCATTTGAAAGGACATTTGCTCAGTCTCCAATCCGATTCTTTGTTATGTTTAACTTGATGTATAATCAATGAATTCGGATTGAAATTTACATCAGCTGTCGTTTAAATGAACTAAATGTTTTCCTTGGGCTAAGAATTCCTGTAAATTTTGAAATTTCTTGCTTTTCTGAATACTTTGTAATAGGTCTAAAATATTGTCATAGTCCAGATGCTCCGGGTGCCAGTCACCTTGGGGAATCATTCTGTAGTCAATCTCGTCGTCGCGAGAACAGCACGAGACTATGATGGTCCCCACTATCAGAATAATAATGGTGATAAGCATTAATATTCCTGCAATCAAGAGACAGGTGTGCTCCACGGCCATAATAAAGGTTTCCTTAACATCTGAAAAAGAGGAAAATAAAGAAAGAATTATTATAGCATTGTGCTTTGAAGATTGAACGTACATGTACAGCATACGCCACGATTTGCTGGAATGTGCGCTAGAGCATGTCAAAGACGAATCAAATTCCAAACTATCAAAGAAATGGTATTAAAAAAATAATCATAATATTGGAGAATTTAGTTATACACTTTCCGTTCATCCGAAATCAATATGATTGTGGAAGTATTGTATATACATGTACACGTATCTGATGAGTGGAATACTGTCCCAGAATTAGTACAGCTGAACTTCGATATCTCGAACATGGATATCTCGAATACCATGGATATTTCGAAGTGATTTAAAAGTCTCAAGCTGAACTTCGATATCTCGAATACCATGGATATGTCGAAGTGATTTAAAAGTATTAAGTCTTTTTCTTTAAGTATTTTACCCTCAATATCTCGAACTTTCGGATATCTCGAAGTTATCTCTCGGTCCCATCAAGTTCGAGATAACGAGGTTTGACTACATTTTTCTTTGACAGAATATGAAAACATTAAATGAATAGCATATCAACATTTTAATAACAAATATTGTGAATAATATTTACAGCAACTGAAAACTCCATAATGTAAGTCTTTACAACCTTGCAGTATTGGTAACGACGTTTTGAAACAAGTTAGAGTCCATACAACACATATGTGCTTTTTAGACAATTCGGTAAATTTCATTCGCAGTGTTTTTAAAATTTTGTCTTTACAAATGGTTGCTAGAGTTATGCAATCTTGGAATAAAATTTGAATCGTTTGTATACATGTGAACATTTTTTTTTAAAGAAAAACCCCTTCCAAGATTTATACACGAAATAAGAAAGAGGAAAAACAAGTAAGGTACATGTACACATAAGAGGAGAAATCGATGATTGTACATAATCTGTAGATAGTGCGAAAATGTAAGGAGAGAATATAGGTGCGGTCAGATTATGGAGATCCTTCTATGCTAAATATAATTTTTATATTAATGGTGATACGCTAAATATGAGCAATAAATAAAAAAAAAATACCTTCCAGGTAAGGTGTGACGTATTGAGGGGAGGATAAATTTTCCCCTGATTCCTGCCCTCGAAGTTGACAAACTGCCTCCTGTAAATACAAAATTAATATCTTTCAGAATCCGATCAAAGAAGCCTATCCAAAAGATTATGTGCTCCAATAATTTTTCAGTTTTATATAAAATCGACATCTTGAATAGAAATGAGTCAATCAAAGAGCTGGTACAGTGTTCAAAGTGGCCGGCCTTTGCTTCGTGAGACTGAATAGCATCGTATACCAAACCACATCCAGATTATCTAGCCATATATACGCGGCAACTCAGTGGTTTTATTGCCCTAGCAAAGTAAGCTAATGTAAATCAATGTCTGTAAATATTTCCTTTTAAAATCAAATAAAATGGAAATTTCAAGGGCAAAACAGCAGTGGAATTAAGATAGCTATTTATTTATTCATTTTTTTAATTTTTTTTTAAATATTATAAACCAACATGTGTATTATTTTTTCATGAAAATTTCTTTCGTTTTGAGCCAATATTGTAACTCATATATATTTGTCATAAAACTAACCCCAGTCAAACGATATATTGTATACAAGAATATTTTTTTTATTTTCTTCTCGAAGTACATTTATGTTTGAACCTCCACCCCACCCCAGACCCACACACCCCATTCACTGGCATCCAGTATAGTAGTTCTGGATTCACTTTGGTTACCATTTTATATCTGTTTTGTCTAAGAAGCATCAGGTTTATTAAACCCAGAACTGACGATTCCTTTTGAAAAAAAGACGGTATGGGAGGGCACAATATACACTGTACTCTTGACACATATATTTCCTATTACGCAAATTCTTTGCCCACATATGTCAAAATCGCATAAACACGTGTCACACTATAAAAATAATATATCTTTTCTCAATCAAAACCATTCAGCTAGAAAATTTTACTAACATGGCTTTAATTTTTTTTCTCCAATATTGTCCAATCAGCTTACCTTCAAAGTTGTTAATGATATTAAACACAAATATCCAATGGACAACATAATACAGATATTGCTATGCGTGGCAATCCTCAATATATAAAATACTGATACTAAACTATAGTAACAGGTTGATAATAGGCGATGTTTATCCCGTGAACACACCAGCTGGTAGCTGAACGAAATGCATGCAACTGACGAGAAAGTTGGGCGCGGATCAAAACCTTCCTCAGTTATATTTGATTCCAGGATGCAATTTCAGTTTGGGGGTCACAACCATACATTTTAAGTTTTCAGTTGAGGGGTGGGGGGGGGGCTATAAACTACCAAAAATTCCCTGACAAGCAAAAAAAAAAAAAAAAAAAATAGTAGATATATATATCGGCAAAGTTAATTATTGGGGGTACGACCCCCCCCCCCCCCCCCGGTTCCTACGGCCATGGACTCTTCGCAGAATATTTTTGTCCTTTATAATTTGGGGGTGTTTAGGCACTAAAATATGCGTACATCATATAGACAGATGAGTTATAAAATCGGATAAAGATATTCGTTACACCAAATAATAAACTTATAAACAATTATTTAATCTTTTTTTTTTTTTTGTTTCCTTTGAATATGCCCTGCACGCTACAAAACAGATATAAATCGCATGTTCATGTACAGACAGAAAAATTGTTATCTCTTAATCGCCTGTGGTATGATTTACAAAAACATCTCGAGACTTCTTTTTATGCAATGTACATATTTGACAAGATAATCTAATATTTCACCTTGTCTTTAACCTATTTTTTTTCCCATAAATACGTGTCGAAAGCACTAGTACATCCATGGGCAAATAGACTATGAATGACCACTCCGATATCAAATTTCCATCTTGATAAAAATGGCATAAAATCTTAACATCTCTCCAATTTTTAGTTGTTTGATAATGTAAGATCTCGGTACTGAAAACATGCTTTCCAAAAAAAAAATTATATACATGTATCAGTATCATATGTACTGTTGCCGAATACGCAAAATTTAATTCTTCTAAATAGACAGCATGCAATAAAATTGGTATTTCGTGATAATATGCATTTATCTGATACCAAAATAACTTTGAATAAAGAGATAATTTCTTTCTATCATCATCATATATTGTACAATATGACTGCTTCCTAGCGGCTCGTAATAAACTTAGTGTAGGGGGTCAGTGTTTCTTTTCCTTGAAATTCAATCTTTGTACGACCTGAAAACTTAATACATATTTGTTTGTATCAATATTTGCTTCATATTTTAAGCAGCTTTTGTAATTACCCAATCAGTCAAAATTTACAATACATCATAGACATAGACGTATACACATACATGTACACGCTAAATACTGAATTCGTATTATAACAATTTAATTCACATGTTCAGTTTCCTTATAGGATAAAGAGTAGTGCCCTTTAATCCTTGTAGGAAATAATATGTACTTCAGAATTGTACTGCAAAATTGTTGTAAGTGTACCTACTGTTTTAACAAATATAACTGAAGATCAAGTGTTATATTTTGTAGTCTGACTTTAAAGGTCTTTTTCACATATATAGTACGTGCATTGTAGGTAATTCCGTGTTTCTTGATATATACATGCATATTAAAACAATTTGTACATACAGAGAATGATTATTCTCAAGGCTGTTGTCCAAGACTATCATGTTCTAATTTTTGTATCATCACACACTTCGTAAATTCAACAATTATGATTAATAAAATAAAGCAGATATGAATTCAAATTGGTACTGAGTGATATTTAAGACTTACATGTAATAGAGAGAGAGAGAGAGAGGGGCTAGCTGAAAATGTTTTAGAAAAGAAACCGACCCGTTAAACCATTTTTATAATTGTGCATACATGTACAAGAAATTTAGTTGATATCAAATACGTGGGCATCTATATATGAAAATATAATTCTAACTTTCACGGCGACATGCTTTAATATCCGCTTTTACTTCATACTGATACTCATGAAAACGCAGTAAGGCATGGCTAGGCCATTGTCGGACGCTTTCTGTAAACAACGTACACCGAGTAAGTAAATTTTACTTACGTAGAGACTACTTGAAACTTTGGCACTGGAATCCCTGACTGTGCAAGTCAGCTGGTCCATGGTGGCGATTTGTTGAGCTGAAATCAAAGATCTAGGTATTCAGTATACTAGATTTCATGTGGGTCATTTCGTAATTTACCTGCATGATCTTACCTGATCATGCCATTGTTGCTAACCAATATAAAAGTAAACATTCCTCAGGTGTGTCGAAATTAGGTCGAGCGTAAACTCGCCGGGCAGAAAATGTAAAAATCACCTTATATCAACACATAATTACAGAAAAATTATGTGCATACATGTACTTATTCATTTTTTTCAGGTGTGTTAACCATAGATGAACTGATTAACGGATACCTGCTATATAGCTAGTGATCTCTCAATTGTAATACTACCGGTTGATATTGAATATTGATTATTTTCAATCGATTGACTTTGTTTTGCACAAAGTTAGTAATTCTTTTTTTTTACCTTCGTACTTTCCTGTATGTAATACATATTCCATAAATAGAGTGTGGGGAGCTTATTTTTTTTTTTTAAAGTTCATTTCAGATGCAAAATTTATTATATCATCTCTGTGAATCAATCGTTTACCGAGATATAAACCGTAATTTCAAGTTTCCTAGCTGCAATATTCTGAAGCATTAGCATCAAGGTATATGTATCTTCTTTGTAGTAAATACGTTTATTTTCACCCTTTTATTTATTTGTAAATATTGTAAATAAGAACACGTAATACTGAATTAAAGATACGCTAGGAAGAATAACTCTGTTTTGTACGATCTTTCGACAGCAGTTGTTAGTTAGTTGTCCCAACTCCTGCCTAGTATGTACAGTTTAAATAATAGAACTAAAGACATTTTCAGCGACTGAAGGCAGGTTGCGTCAAAATGCACAAAAGTTCCTGAAAATATCAGGTATTTTCATTATTAGCATTTTGATTATCTTATTCGTGTAAGATTTTATACATGGACGTAGGAACCGGGGGGGGGGGGGGCACGGGGGTGTTTTTTTTTTTTATTTGTTTTTTGCTTGTCAAGGAATTTTTGGTAGTTGATGACCTTTTTTTTTGTTTGTTGTTTTTTTTTTTTTTTTTTTTTTGCTTGTCGGGAAATTTTTGGTAGTTCCCCCTCAACTAAAAATGTATGGTTGTGCCCCCCCCCCCCCCCCCCCACAAACTGAAATTGCTTCCTACGGGTCTGTTATATATTTGTATATTTATTTATTAAGTTTATGCAATGCATTAGCCGGTTTTTGTCAATGCTGTAAAGATATTCTTATGATCTCGGCGTCTATCACGAGAACCCTTATGAATGTGTTCGGAACCTTAATTTTCTCTTTCTTTTCGATATTCAGCAAATAAGATCTATAATACCCGAGGAGTTCTCAGTAGATATGATACAGTGAAACTTCTGCGAGACTCTCGGATCATGTTTACAAATTATTCGCGGAAGTTTAGCTAGGATGTAGTGCTGTACGTATTGACTGGCACGTGAATACATTATATATAACGTATAATTGTTCACCTTTATACATTATATCAGTGGACTAAATGTACCTAAATCTCTCTCTAGAATACTTATTCAAACTTCAAGCAAAAGTAATGTTTTTTACAGTTTCATTTATTACGGTTTTTCGTTAATAGTAGTGTTTCATATTTTCTGATCAATATGCGTATATGTTTTAATATTGTCATTTCAGTAGAGAATATACATTTTCCCGTAGTATTTAACAGCAACAGAAAAAAGCAATGGTCTCTTTACTGCCAATCGAATTGGTTCTAACCTACAACATTTTAATGGGCCTCAAATTGACTTTAACATTTGTGGGGAGTGACGTCTTTCAAGGCGCTGATTTAAATTGGTTTGAGTAAATAAATGAACTTGAACTTGAAAATCCGAGATGATTTTTCTTGCAGAGGAACAATTAGGTATTACCCTCGATATTAATGTTTCCGAAATGGATATTCAACTTCAGATTTTCAATGCCAACTGATATTCTACGTATAGACCACAACTGCAAAACTCTTTCAAAGGGGCTGGAGCACAGATTTGAAGCTCATATTTTCAAAAATTGTCTAATAATATCATGACTTATATGTTGCTAGAGCATTTCACACCGAGAAGAAAATTCCTTTATCTGGAAATAATTGGGACGCGTTTGATTGACACATACCCTTGCACTTTCACACGGTAAACTTTATCCATAATAATTAAGAAAAGTAGAAATTTTGTTGTGTATTAATGAAAAAAATATGAAAATTAAAATCCAGAAAATTCAGATTAGGTTTGCGAGAGAGCAAAACCAACTCACCAGTATTGTCAGTCCGTGCTCAGTGATGTGTATAGACTAAACAAACTGCACACACCCGGAAATAACGTAAGCACTAACAATAACAGAGGTCGTGCCCTGTTTACAAAACTAGTTGTTTGACGTAATATTATGAACAATGTCGTTGTCATTGAATTCTTAGAATATACATGTAACATGTGTAAGTTCAAATCATTATACTAAAGTTATTTTTTGAATAAAATAGACATTTAAATTATAAACAGTGCAAATGTGTCCAGGACCCTTTAAGCTCATACGAAATGTCATTCAATCCATATACAAGGAAAAAATATTCGGGATTTATTACTTTTTAAAACATAAATACATCTAAGAAAGACCAAGATTCCAGAGCAAGAATTCGAGGCGTTGCTTATTGACAGAGTTCAGTGCTCAAAGATTTTTAATGATTTCTCAATTTCATTATATATTGTACACATTGCAAAATAAAACTGTATCGTATTGTAAATTTTGAATTTACTAGGTGAAAGTAATTGCAAAAATTAAATTTTACCTCCACCTTGAAAATTCAAAATTTACAACATGATAGCTGTCTTAAATGTAACATATTTAAAAGAAGTTGGTTTTTCATATTCCAAATATTTACATACATGTATATGTAAGCTGTGATTTTTCCTTTTGATTCCCTTGAAAGAAATTCTAAGTTCCCATCCTCATGAACTTCAACAATTGCTGATGAAGTAAATTTTGCAGTCATGTAGCAACATTGGAACTACTTAAAGCTGGAAAATAGTCCTACAGTTTTGGTCAACTTCTGTTAGTTCAAAGTAACGTTACCTGACTTTTTGAGACAAGCAGGAATAGTAGTATGTTATTTATGACATTACATATTCATTTAATGTTCGTGTTCTTGCATAATATATTATATTACGTATACACATGCATGTATTTATAACCCATCCCCATTGATACAGAGACTGTATGACAACAGAGGAGAAGTAATTGAAATCGACAACAATAATTAAGCTGATTGATATTTATAACGAGAGAGAGAGAGAGAGAGAGAGAGAGAGAGAGAGAGAGAGAATTTTAAAAACAGAGACACTTACTAGGTATGTACTTTCAAAAAAAGAAACAAGCATTGTTACCTTGTCGTTTTAGACATTTAAACAGGTAGTAACTTATTTACAAATTCAATCAATTTTTTATTTAAATTATTTAAATTTATTTTCAAAGGGAAATAAGTGTTACCTCCAAACACGGAAGAGCGAGACATCACTGTATCCGGTGTTGATCGGCAGCAGTAGATGAGGAGTGATTCCAAATAATGTTAATGTGTATATTATATATAGATAATTGTTTACACGTACGATGCTCCTAATTATAACTCCGACACAGACTTCTGAACAGTGTGCTCTCACTCTATTATATATGTATATCAGAAAGAGAGATATTTATAGACTGTGACATAACATTAGTCTTTATCTTAATTATATCTACCCTTGACTCACTGCTTCTATACACGTGTGTGTCATGCAAACCTGGACTTTATCCTATATTTTAAGTAAATAAGTGCAAAATATATACACTGGGGGTTTTCCATATTGACACACACTTCATGCATTTCACCATTAATTCAATTACACATTATTTGCTCACATAAGATAAATCTCGCAGGATATAAATATATTACATTAATTTAATATTATTTTCGGAAATTCCATAGCAGCGGTAACGGCGTCCTGGTAGGATTTTTTTCCCTTCAAAATATGTATTTTATATATATTATACATGTAGTACATATATCTAAACGTAACTAAATGTAAATATATGTACATCACCTCTTAAAACAGCAACCAGCCGTAAATGCTACACTGAACAAATATTAATAATATTTGGTAATATGAATACAAAAATGGAAAAATTAAAATTTTGTTTCCTATTGGATCAAGATTATCTTGAGTAATTAAACACTAAGTATATAGTGACCCAGATATTCTATACATCTCTGTGAAATCATATCAAATCACTTAAGGTAACTCCGACCAGGTTTAAAGGTCATCTCTATACATTCGTTTAACTTACTAGTATTTGTTTTATTATAGAGAATTTCTATCAAGAACGCCTTGTTCATCTTCTTTTTCTTTTAAGATCAAAGTGTTAAATATGTGGCTTTTGAAAATCTTACACTGTGCATTGCCAAAACGTGGCGATATCTATTAATATTATATTGTGTATATATGCAATCTAATGTAGGGAAAAATGAGATTCTTTTAATCTTTTAATGCTCTCTTGAGCAAATGATTCCTATAAAATTTTGTCCATCACCTGTCTGCATGTCGATTGTCTGTTTATTTAAAACTTAATTTTAAGAAATCACTGGGATAATCAATCAAACTTGGCAAATCATGTGAAGGGGATTTCAGTTTCTAATGGTAAAACTTTGAGAAGCAACGAGCGGTTTCTCAATTGGATTCACCCTTTTGTCACAAATGGAAATGTGACTTGAGCCTCTTCTATCTATCTATCTATCTATCTATCTATCTATCTATCTATCTATCTCTATATATATATATATATATATATATATATATATATATATATATATATATATATATATATATATATATATATATATATATATATATCTATATATATATATATATATATATATATAGCTTTAAAAAGTCTAGCATTTCCAATGTTTTACTGAGTGGTAAAAAAAAAGATGTTGGACCGCTGAGTGAGATATTGGACCGGCCGATGAGATATTGGACCTCTATGACTTTTTTTTTTTTTTTTTACCGCACACGCTATATCTTATCAATTATCGCAAAAGAGGAAGCCAGCCCAAGAAATGTCAATATAAAAAGTAAAAGGAATAACAAAATATATATTGACTTTGTTCTCGGACAAAATGTTAATTGTTGACCCTTGAACGAAATTGTTTGACTTCGGCCTAACGGACTCAGGCAAAAAGTTTTGTTCTTGGATCCCACAAAACGCAAGTTGCCCTCGAACCCAGTCAATAAATAACATTCACTGATTGGGTTAAATTTTCGTTTCTTTCATTTTTTTTGATGAGCAAGCAGGACGTGTGGGACCTTTTGTATATTAATATTTGCTTATAATCACTAGATCTACAATTGTGAACACTTAATTTTGCAGTCAATACGCGAGAAAAAAAAACCGGAATTACACTCACGCATTCCTCGTACTCATCAAATGGAAATAAATTCGGCATCCGGAAATAAAACTTTTATTGCCAACATACGCAGTAGAATCGATGAAGCAATTTGCGCGTTGACTTGCAAGTCACCTGTCGCACATCCACACAATATTAAACCAGCAGTGCTTATTTTAAGATTAACACATTTTACACCCTTATGTCAAAATTTAAATTTCCTTACTACTGTCTAACTTTTTTTCAATCATTGAAACCTTGCGATATGCTTAGATAGCAAACTTCACCGCAGGTGGTAAATTCATTTTCTCAATTCATTAAATGGGGACCTGCGACAAACACCAAATATTGCTTGAGCGATAATAGCTATACCAAAAACATAAACTAATTCGCCCCAGAGCTGTGTATGTAATGAAATCCGATTTAAGGAGATTTAACTTTTTGTTCGCAATCCTTGAATTTCGTCTCGATCGAGTCTTCCCTCGGTCTCCGTAGCGACGTTCCTATCATGTGACCAGCTTAATCTCCGTGTTTTGTGCAATATGGCTATCGGTATTTAGACACTATATGGATCCACTATTGTAGAAGATATCCTTTTGTTTTAGAGTAATTTATGGATTTATCTAAAATAAGTTAGGTAAGTATATTTCTTACTTTTGTACCCTGTTGTTTCAGTAAAGCATTTTCATATGAATGTTTCGAACTTTATTTAGATTTCAAATGGCATTTTGTAGACTTGTTTTGCTGATTCTGTCAATGTTATTGTGATAAATAAGAGAACATAGGGCAAAAATAAATCAAATATCAAATATGGTATATAAAAATATAAAAATAAAAATAAAATCAATCATGGATTCTCTGGAAATCGAATTTTTGATTTACTGATAAGCTGTAATTTAAATAAATTATTTTTTTAAAATGTAATTTCTAAATATGCATACATGACATCAACATTTCAAATATATATTAGTTGTGAAGTAATTGCATCCTATTTAAAAAAAAAAAAGAAAAAAGAAATTAAAAAAATCATCTTAGAGAATGAGGGGAAATATTGATGAAAATCGGATTTCAATGTTTTCAATGCATTAAAAAAAAGGCAAATTTCCGTTAGAGAGACCAGAAAGCAAACACCAGTAGTGGGATATATCCTAGAATCCAATGAATTAAGGTTTATTTGCTAGCTTATTCCCACCATTGATTTTAACCCTAGTTAGGAATTTTAAAAGCCCCTGTCTGCGAGTATTGGATTGAAAACGAACCAGAGTTGAACAGCGAAAAGATCTATTCATTTAGAACAAACCCTGTCAATTTTCTAATGTCTGGTCGGAGAAAATAATACCTTTTGAAGGAAATGTTTTATATCGATCAACTCAAGTTTTGTCAATGGAAAAATATATAGCTGAATAATACATGAGGATAACGATTCCTATATATGATTTGTGTTTGTGCATATTTGAAATAAACCTTTTAATTTTTCAGTTTAATGTTTTTCTAGAACAAATTCATATTGATGCTTAATTTTTCTTGTGCATACACAATCGTTAAAAACTATAGAAACTATATAGCTAATATGCTATGTTGTTATATTGAAATTCATATATAAAAATTGATAATACTCTTGCAAGCAGTTTGAAAGTCTGAATTTAATTTCATTTCTACTTATATGGGGATTAAGTCTTTGTTTATATAAGAATTGCAGTATTGTTCGCCAGACTCGACGAGGCTCCATACTGTAATATAAACAGTGATTATCATTTCCAATATTTGAATGCGATATTTGAGGCAGGCTTTAAATCCAGTCCCCCATTGTTAAATCAGCAATATATAATTCAAATGTCGGTGTTGTTAACAATTAATATATCGAAATTCAACGTTCTTCAATTGTGTTTAATCTATCAAGCTTTTTAGAACGTTCGAACTGAGAGATATAATTGCATTCTAAGTAGAGGTTCAGAACAAGCATAATTTATATAAAACGTGTACTTGTTAAATGTTAAATAAATTTCCATGTTGACATAACGATTAATTCAAACAGTTTAAAAAAAGGTAACTGAAAGGATGGCTGAAATATTTGAACGTAAGTACTGGTAAATGGTTCAGAGCTGCTTTCGTATCCCAGTGTTTGATGCTCAGCAAAATAATATAATAAATAATTGTATTAATTAAATACTTGTGTTCCAACAGGACTAACGTATACAAAAGTAAACACTTGGAATTTTTACCATGTTAATTTTCAAACCTATTTTTTTTCAGATAGTAGTAGTTAGTGAAAAGAAAGTGTCCATGATGGCAGCTACGACAACGTTGCCAAAGATCACCCGTACCACCCCCCTCGCCACACCCGTCCCTCCCTCAATACAGCGCTCCAACACTATGTACGGGGCATACCCTCCACGGGAACTCTCCAGCTCCATGAGCCTGGTCCGTATACCCCCTAGGGTCAACCCCCTGGCCCCACCCCCGCCCCGTAAAAGAATCCAGGACCACTGGGAAACTGTGGAACAACACTGGCATAATGACCAGAGGCGGATCTTAATGCAACAAAGGGAACACCAGCGATACCACTCGGCCTGGGCTAAGGCCTTCTATGGGGCACCTGCCGAGAAGGAGCAGTATAGGTGAGGGCCTTAATTCATAAGAAATACTATCTTTGATATCAGTACAGATCTACATGATCTGGTCTATTAAGTGTCATATATATTGATTGTGTCAGTCTGTTACAGTTGTTTGTCTTGGTCATCAATTGGTTAAAAACATAAACACAGTAAAGTAGCAAGAAAGATCAACTGAACTCATATTTAATGTTGTTAGCGCAAGCGAGGAATGGTGTATATAAGTGTAAGGAAAATTTGTTAAAAACTGGTTAACTGCAGTTAACTGCTAGATACTAAGAATTCCTGTTTATTTTTTTTTTTTCATCTGCCTTTCCTAGTAACTGTTTTGGCATAGCTTTTTGTACATGTAATACTAGTAATACGCTCACAACAGATGCATGGTCCTGTACTATGCTATCTGCCAGTCAGGGTGGTAATGAATTCATTCACTTTTAATAAGTGCATATGTTGGTATAGACTAGTTTTGTCTTTGATCCAATTCACCAACTTCAGATTACTATTTTAATATTCTCAAAAGGAGAGGGGGGGGGGTTAAATGTAATACTAATCTTGTTATCTTGACAAGAACAATATCACACTGTGCATACTTCTTAGGGCTTTATAATATATCTTTTAATGGTATCGGGCATTTCGCTTAACAAAATGTTCCTGTTTCTTCAAAACCCGGGGATATATGGTGTACACTCGTCTCAAGTAGGGTAATGTTAACACAGCCTGCATTTGTGTTTCTTTAAATGTCATCATATCGAAAAATGAATGAATATCAAATAAAAGCAGATTACCTGTTGCAACATATACCGTCATTACTCTTGCTCAGGTGTTAAAAATTTCTGTTTAAAATTCTCCGTATCTAGGGACGCCTGATAGTAGAAGAAAAATGACCCCCCTCTTACGTAAACTGTTTCGATCGTTAATCGTGCCTCGGTGATCAATACAATCTAAGAAGGAACATTTGTAAATTTTAATTCCTTTGCAAATGAAAGATAAGCTTTTCTCGGAGTTAATGTAGTCAGTTAGTGAAGCTGATTAGAGAGGACTGACACTTTTGCTGTGGAGGTCCAATGAAAGCGACACGAATGTTCACTTGAAAATGCCACCGAAACGCTTGACTGTGATTAAATTGCTAAGGAAGTCAAGAACTTTTGGGAAGGTCTATAAATCTTTCATCTACAATGAAGAGCTCTTATTTTACATTGTCAGAAAAGCACTAGTTTTTTTTTTGTGTGAACCTACCGGTATACATCTTTTGACTTTAAAAATCTTATATAAACTTCTCACTGAACGTGCAGAATGTTAGCGTTCTTTTTAGTGCCCACATCTTAAACTTCCAGTTCAATGGTTTTAACAGCTATGTTTTCAAAATACGTATATACTGTACTTTAATGTTTTGTGAAAACTTTCTAAAGAAGTCAATGGATTTTACTTGTTTGGCAATTTAAATGTCTAGTTTTTCTTTCAATTTTGATGTTGTCAAGAACATTATTTTAAAATCTTTTCCTTTAACTTTAATTTGTCTCTCATCACATTCCAATCAAACAAAAGAACAGCTCTGAATTTCAAACAGCACAAAAATATATCAAAAACTTCAAAGAAAAAAATCCGTTAGGTCCTACAGCAAGTTCTCTGTAAAAAAAAAATGTGAAGTTATGAGGCAAATCTCCATTAATTAATTTTATGAATTCTTGAGAATTTCTTTTAGTTCTGTTATTGCCACGATAGTTTCATCGCCTTTGAACATTTTACCATAATAAAAGAACATAGTCTCAACGGACATCAGGAAATCGACCATATATAACCGATAAAATGAACGTTCGATCTAGCGTTTACAGAAGAAGTGTCTCCTGATAGTTCAAACACCGCCATTCCTTTTATTTGGATACAGATTTAAGCAAGAGGAATCTGGAATCGGTTACCCACGTAAAACGCTGATATATCCTCGGGTTCAGTGTAAGGCAAATTTACACCCCCTTTAGTCAGAGCGCATTACGACCAATAAATCAAGATATTAAACACATTGGACAAACAGTGGCTGGCCTGGATAAACATTGACTTTAATATAGACCGACAGTGTTCTATATTTCATAAAACGACAGTTTGTTTATCAGTAGTTTAATCTAGAGCATAATTTGAAAATCCAATACGTGACCCACTCAGAGCGGTGAGGAGTTGTCTGCTCCTTACCCGTAAAGATTTTAATATATCAACTGTAACTTCTTTCACTTGAAAGGTTTTTAGCTACTTCCATTTTTAAAATGCTGTGCGAATTGTGATAATTACAGTATAGTTAAACGCGGATATGCGGGTCTTTAATTAAAATATCAGTAACAGGACCTAGCTAGTATACATAAGCAAGGTATTACATTCACAATTAATTTTAACTGAAAAATGCACAGGTCTGTATGTGTCCAGAAACATGTTCCAAATTAATTTTGATAATCTATAGTAAAAATAAACCCAGAATATGCTAGGTATCCTTCAAGTATACAGAGTGTTTAAAACTTGGTGGGTTTACTTTTAATTGTTGCTTAATAATTAAGTCATAAGTGTTTAAAGTATACTTTTACCGTTACATGTACCACATGAGTCAGAATTACAGCATAAATTTCATCCACATTCTGAATATGTTGCAACTTAAATTATAATTAATAAAAGTAAAACAAACTAACAAAAACCCAAACACATTTAAAAAAAAATAATATATATATATATATATATATATATATATATATATATATATATATATATGACATATGGCTTTAGGAGACCAAGGAGGATATATTTTCTGGCTTAGGGAGACCACTGGATTAAGGCGACCTTTTTCGGTCTCCCTATTATTTTGACCTCATCAGTATTCCAAATGTCTTTTTATAGATAAATAAACAGTCTGCCATTAAGTACTATTAATCTTTAACTCTGTTATTTAACATTCAAAAGTTGTCTAATTTCTATCATCTTCCCTAAAAAAGAAAAGAATTTATAACCTACGTATAATTTCAAAGGATAATTTTTCTGCATTTTGGAGACCATGAAAAACATGCAATTAAACAAAAAATCTAGCATATATATTGTTTCCGCTTTTGATCTGTTCAAATGAGTGTTTCTTTAACTTAGCTTTCCATGTTTTATGTTAAAATCCTAAAAAGGAAAAATATTGTAAATTTATGGACCATGTTTTGAATTCTTAGCAAGTGCTTTCCGTCGTTTGTTCCGAATGCCATCGGAATGCCCCTTCAGTTTTCAGAAAATGACCTCTGAACACCATGGATGTTGAGAAATTTGGGTAAGTAACTAAAATGATATAGTAATAAGTTGTAATTAAGAATACGCAAGGCAAACATTCGTTTGTTTGTTTGTTTGTTTTGCCTAGTAATTTAGCTTTCAATAGAAAAAGTATGATTTTAAATAATCGTTAGACTATAGTTCGGTATATTAAATCCTGAAGGAAATTCGAAATAAAGTTAAATGATAGGCCCCTATATTTTTTAATTCTTTTATGCAAGTCCACAAACAAATTAAATATTTAAAGATTAGGCCGAACGTAGAAAAAAATAGTCTCGCAAGTTGACGCAGCTACTGTGAGCTTAAAAATTTAAATTAAACTTTCTGTAAACATCATGCAGGACATGATCATCTTGATATAGTATAAATGAAACAGACCCTGTAAGAAAAAAAATAGCTGTAATTTAATAATTGTTTATTAATATAATGTGGTCCTCTGCTGATAAAATATATATGCAGTAAAAAAAAATCTGAATTAGGGTGAAGCAGATTTGATACAATACATGGCTGAAGGAACGGGGGGGGGGGGGGCTGTAATTTTGCTGAAATTTACTTATACTATAGAAAACATTGCTCCTTTATGCTTGGACCCCCTCAATAAAAACCTCTGATGATCTATTTTTCTTTTGCTTTTGGGCCCCCTCAATAATAACCTCTGATAATGTATTTTTCTTTTGCTTATTAAGAGTTTTTGGTTTGTAGCCTCCCCCAACCTGAAACTGAAAAATGTTGTTTGGTTGTGTTCACCCCCCCCCCCCCCCAACTAAATTTACGTACGGGTCTATTCTCCATCCCTGAGGTTTTCTTTCACCAAAGAAAGATTAATTGGTAACAGTTCAGATATATCACTGTATATAGCAATATTTACGGAAGGGAATATTCTCGTTTAATTATGAAGATGTGACAGTAACTCAGTCACAGCCACAGTGAGTGTAACATTTATTTAATATTATTGTTAATGTTTACAAATGGTGAAATACTGATACTATGAAATTTTAATGGATATATAGAAAATATACAAGTACATCCATTTATTGTAAATCACATACATGAAAAGCTTTTTTTTTCAAGCAATTGGAAATTCTTCATTTTTTTCATGAAATTATTGTATTTCGTATATATAATAATTTATTTCGTATTTTAATTCAGTCAACAAGTCATTGTTGCAGCCTAGTTCCCTTCATTATTTTCAGCAGTTCAGCGACAGAGATAATTAAAATGATCATTTGAGGTTTATACCCCCCCCCCCCCCCCTCCCCACCAAATGAAACTGAAAAAATGTTTGGTTTTGGTCCCCTTCAACAGTTCAACTGAAATTGATTCTTACTTACCATGCTTCCAGGCTTAACTATGAAGATGTGACAGGGAGTGTAATAACAATTGTTCAGACGGATACATAAGCTGATATACGTATCAAATTTTAATGGATAGATAGAAATTAATATACAGTTACAACCATTTATTATAAACTACATAAAGATAATTTTTCAAGCAATTTGAAATTCTTCATTTTTTTATGATAATATTTTATTTCGTATATATGTTTATAGGTTTATTCGTATCAACAAACCTGTGTACGAGTTAATAACGCAGCTTGGTCCTGCATTTTCAGTGACAGAGAACCAGAATAAGATTGCAGGGAAACAAGCCTTGTTACAAGGTTTGAGGTTTGTTTATTTTAAATTTACACTTTTTAAAAATTATTATTATTATGCAAAACTCTGTGTGCAGATGAATTGTAGTACGACTGCTACCCCAAGATGGGAATAATAAAATACTCTGCTCCTGGGACAGACTGTCACTTGTCAGTGACTATTTACAAAATCTGATACACACAAAGTAAGACAAAGATAACAAAGATTTGATGGATGTTTATTTACAATGAATAACTATAAAAAACTGGTACCTCCAGTTTTACAAAGTATAAATGGAAAAAAAATGATATGATTGATAATAAAATTTTGAGAGGGTTTAATTTAATAATTTGGAAAATAAAGATGATTGAACTTTATTAAGAATTTTACTTGAACTAATTAGTTGAATTTGGATCGGGCTCGGAATTCCTAATATTTGGATTAAGTATGGCGCCTAATATGAAGAGGATAAATTTTTGAGAGAAAAAATTAGTAAGTTATTGGGATGTACCCTTAAAAATGATACCGAAATCGGTATGCAGTGCTCGGAAACGGGAAGATGGGCTTACCCGTAGCTAATGTGCTTAGATCAGTGGACGCAAGAACTCGCAGTCCACCGAGACTCTCGATACACGGCCTTATATAGTGTGAGTTCACAAAAGAAATGGTCACCCAACCGTTTATTAGAGAGATAAATTATTTAGATAAATATGAGTTTTATCACAGAATATTTACATTTTAATGTTATAAGTCGTTTTGCGGTTCATTTATTTGCGGTCACTGTCCCACGTGCATACATGCCAACTTTTTAAAATCTCCTTGGGGGAGATTGCGCGTGACAACATTTTTCAAAGTTCTAAATTTGCGGCATTTTGTCATGAAAATAAGTATTTGTTGGTTTTTTTTTTAAATATTAGTCTAATACCTTGTATCATATATTATCACTACTTCAAAAAGTTTTTTTTTTCTCTATCAACTTCAACAAAAACACACTATTATTTGGAATTTAAAAAAGGAAAATTTTAATCAAAATTATTTAATATGTTAATATAAAGATCAACATTACCCCCCTGCCCTATGCAATGTCATACACATACAGATTATTACATGGATAGGGATGTTAAACTTAATTACAAATAAGCTGGAGCAAGTTACTAAAAGAGTTCATGCAGTAACTGTCTTTGTGTATTGGTAAATTACACATTTTATAAAGCTACTAAGTCACAGACACACAATTTGTATTTTTTTTTAATCAAAGGGAATACTAAGAAGTCACTTTTAATGTTTTTCATACAAAGTCTGTAAAAGGCAGGGTCTTCTCCTTCATAACTTTTTGTGAACCACTCCTGGAATTCTGCTAAAAAACTAACGGTTTGTACTTGCAGACGCATCTTTTCAAGCTGGATTTTTGCAGTGTCTTTTCCATGATCAATGACGTAGTTGTAATTATAGTGCACAATGCTGTATTTCCTAAACTTGAAAACCTTTTATTAACAGCTTATACGTATATTGTCAAATTTTGCTGTGAAGTGTGAACTCGTCACAAGTTTGTATCCTGTCGTGTGTATTTCTAAAATTTCCACATCTGGCATGATTGTCTAGGTTAATATACACTGTTAATGAGAATCGGGAGCAATTAAAACCACAGTAATGACTGGTAGCACAGTTGACACCTTGTTGATTACCTGTTATCAGCGGCAATAAACAGATATCTACCGATAAACATTCGAACTGCCATCTTTTTTCAGACGGAAATGCGGTATTATTCAAAGCGGATCGGTAAAAAATCCGGAATTCCTAAAAATCGGTAGAAATGGGATTAAAAAATATATCGGTAGACAAGTGGTAGATGGGGTTAAAAATCAGTAGACTCCCGAAAAAATCGGGAAAGTTGGCATGTATGCACGTATGATTACCTGTTTACATTCACCTACTGACCTAGAGTCTTCAAAATATACCTTCTGTAATCATGACTGTTGTAATCTTGTTTTTATGTTAGTTTACCATATATAACTTGACTGTTGTATAGATTTATAGCGATCACTGCAAGCTTTTAATATTTAGGTGAAGAGAAATTTCAGACTATCAATCACAGGCACTTGTTTCATATACGGTGCACCCCTACTTATTTTTACCACAAGGTATCTAACTCAACTTCAGGCACACCCGCTTCAAGCTCGTATTTTGTTCATATATCATTATCAATCATTAACCTACTTTTAAATGACATCGTTCGCTTCAAGAGACTTTGTTCTTGTCAAATAAATCGTTTCAGAAGTCTCTTGTCGAGCCTCTTTATTGTAAACCACCCATTTATTCCTCGAAAATTACCTCGATACATTTTAAGACTTTAGATGGGATACAATTTCCAGTTGGGGGTAGAATAAAACCAGAGACTTCCGAGTATTCCATTCCGAGGTCTCTGGTTTTGTCCTTCATTTATAACCCCAACCGCAAAGGAGTATTCTACTTAAGTATTGTAGTGTGGTCCCTTTTTACACCCTTGGTTTACCGGTTAAATATTAGCGTACGGTATTTTGATTGTTTTCATTGTGTATAACGAAGTATTTCTAATTAAAACATTGTGTATTTATAGTGAATAATTAAACATATAAAAGAATACAAGCCTATTTTTAACGCATATCGCACTAAAAAATCCCGGAACATTTTCCCCCGATCAGACTATGGTTTCTCTATTACATGGAAATGGGCAGAGATATTTAGATTAGATGCTATAAAAAGAAGATCTTGGAATTATATTTTTCATTCAAAGATGAATTATATGTTCAAGATTCACAATCAACTACAAATACAATTTTCTATTTACAAAACTTTGGCAATAAAAGCTGTAACAAGATGAACCAATCAAGTCCATGCTGATCGATATAAAACTGAGTACGTTTCAACTGAGAACTAGCACGTTTACTGGGGGCATTTACCCATAACGATACAAATCCACTTGGCTTGTTATGATTCTTAACAGGTCATAAAGAGGTTAAATGAAGTCAACGAAGAGATTCAAAATCATAATACTTTAAATTAGAAAACATAGAGCACAAGGTTGTTCAACAAAGATATTTTCACTCAACCTTTACACATATAATATACACATTATATTTCAAACTCGACTCTGAACAAACCTGTGCTCAGTGTTTACGAAAGCTTTGAAGTGTGTACCTGTCACTAATTTCTTTTGATATTCATGAAAATCAAAGGACCGTACCTTCAACGCGCAGCTTCATATGCTGCCTATATCTATTGTTTGACATTCTTAGATGATGATTCAAATAATAAAGACATTAATTAATAATAAAATTTAATTTTTAAAAATCTTAATAAATGTTCGAAATTTGACGAGTAACCGGGGACCACAGATAAGCCTTATTGAGACTTGTTCTTTGTATGGAAAATTACCTTGATACATTTTAAGACTTTAGATGAGATACAAATTTCATTTTTTTCACAGGTCATGGGGTTTCAACTTAAAAAATAAAAATTCTCACAGTTAAGATATGTTGAAAATTTTAGCTTGACATGTTGATAATTTGCCAAATTATTATGTAATAAAAGGGACTTTATATGATCACCCGGCACTGTCGCTTTAGTTCAGTCTTCACAACAATTCTTTTTCAGCACATGCCCTTTGGGCATGTAGACCTATCATTTTTACCCAGCCCATTCATATTTGTACATGCCCTACTCAAAATTCTTACATTTACCAGTATTGTGCAACAAAAAAAACCTATTAGGTATAAAGGTTTTATATTAATTTTTTCAGCGTCATAAACCAACCATGGCCTGTGATTGCCATTTTCTAAAGCGTTTTTGTTCATAAATAACTTTTGATTTGCATGCTGGTCATTTGTTGGCTGGTTTAGCTGAACTGAATTTCAGAAATGGGATCATGACTGTAGTGCCACAGTATGTGGCATTGATGAACGTCTCGTAATTTAGCAAGAAACTTCAATAAAACAAATAGGTTAAACTAAACACTTCAATGATTAGGTTGACAATCATTTGACAGGTTGTATCGAGAATGTAGACAGGCAATCCATCTAAGACATTACATATAGCAACGTTTAAGCGAATAATTGGGGTAGGACAGAATACAGGGCAAGTAAAGATCGTACAATGAAGGAAGATTCACATATGCCCTCTTCGGACATGTAATTTGGCAATTTTTACATGCCCGGCTGCAAATTTAACAGGTCCCTGGCATTGGATTCCCGGGTTATTTGGAAGACTGTTAGTTTAGTTTCATGAGGTCTGACAACATTGATTCTCAATGTCTGCTCCCTCTACCCCATACACTTATCTTGATAAAATTATATAAATTATATTATAAATTATATCATTAATTATATAAATTGATATAAATTATATAAATCGGTCTTGTTTATACAATTTTACAATGTCATAAACAGCTGCTTAAGTGTATATAATATTGTAAATGGATTTATATATAGGATTAGGGAAAGATTCCTCACTTGATTATGCCAGCATATTTTGCTCGTAGGAGTTTATTATCTACCACACATGATCAATGTCACTTTTGGACATGAATGACTTTTGACACCTTAACTTCAGTTCAAATCAACGTTAACTTTATGTGACGTCTCTCTGAATCTTTTTTGGCATGTAACTTGGGTAAAAACAATTAAGTACTCTCGATGCATTTGATTTCTCTTAGCCCGTTTAAACACTTCCTAGGTCTATACCAGTTTTTGCAGGGGCGAAACTATATAGATGTTGGAAAAGAAACCCATCCCCTTTTTGACGTATTTGGTTTTCGAGGGGTGAAAATTTTCAATGTTACACTCAACTACATGCAACATTTATTATATTATACTGAATGTTTTATACAAATACAAATAATAGTGAACCTTGAGCGCATAAATCTGCGCAGTCACTATTTTTTTGGTATATTACCTGTCGACAAGCAGTGTTGACTGTTGTGACACTAGAGGGCATGGCTTCATTATTCAGCGGGTAATAGTGCTTTTTAACAAATGTTTCTTGATGAATCAGATTAATTCATCTTATGTACCTGAAAGTACAATATTAATTAATTGTCATCATTTTCCTATATTAGCATTTTTACTGGTAATGGTTTTGAAATTATAGGAACATGCACTGTTCAAAAAGTCTTAAAATGTTGTTTTGGCTCAATTTCTTTGTTAGATTACTGTGTTGAACTAAGGCAGGTCAATTTAAGTAACATGATCCTATAGATTCCATGTACATTTAATACTGTAAAGTAGACAAATTTATTGTTCTCACAAGTAGTTCTCAAACATTGATTTAAGTTGGTCTCCCAAAGGATGTAATAATGCAATTGGTCTGCTTAAGGTATAATATAGACATGCATATTTTATTTTGAATTTGTATTATGTCAATCATTAGAAATATATGGATCTTAATTAAAAACATTGTTTTTATTAGAATTTAAGATATGTATAATAGGCATATATTCTTCATACTTTTCCATAATTAAGTCCTTTTTTACAGGGTCTCTGCTAGAATCATTTGGACCCCAGTGTAACAAATCTATTGAAAGAGAGAAAATCTCAGCTCAAGGATCAACATGTCTTTATTCCAAGAAAGGTAAATTGATAATTTTTTCTGCTAAAATACTCTTTTATAAATTATAATATCAATGCAAAAGAATGAACAAACAACATACCTAACAACATTTTGAAAATGAAAGTGCAATAACAGTTAATAATTATGATCAGTCGAATGAATGTTAATAATCCAATCAAAGTCGTTGTTGTATATCATTTTTGCTAGGGCTGTGTATTGAGCAAAAAAAGAATACATTTTTTAATGCTATATGCAATATATATTGGATTCTTTAACAATTCTGTCAAAAAAGTCTTATAAATCATTATGCATGAATTTTATAAAAATAATAATTGTTTTGCAACTCATTTTTAATTTTTTGTCTCACCGTCTTAAAGAATTACACTTCAAATTCAAACTTTTCTTGACTGTAAAGTCAACATGTTAGGTAAAGTTGTCTATGTATTTTTATGATTTTGTAATAATCATCTAAGATGTGCTACCTCCTTAATGATTATATCATTTTTGATCAGTTTTAATTCAAAACAGTTACAGGTAAATATAATCTTTGGTGATTGAAATTCCCAACCTTTTCACAGAATTACATGTACATAAAAAAAAACCTGCCTGCCCAAAATGTATTGGAATTACGTTATTTTTTTGATACGATATATTCATCAATCTAGATATGTATCAATATATTTGATGCAGCCCTAATTATTGCTGGTTCATAGAATAACTAAAAAATAAACAAATACCAAATGTTGGCATGGTTGGCATTGCAACTGTATCTTACACATTCAAATCAGGCCATTCTTACGAGTTTTGGAACATGTTGGGTTCTACACTAGTTCCGCTACTACAGAGAAGACAGCTTGTTTTCAAACTGTGTCATTCAAAGTTTCAGTATATGAGAAACACAACAAATCTGAATGCTTAGCCATTACACTAAATGATGAATCTTCTTTATTGTGTTATTTATTGACATTTGACAATCATGATTTTATAAATCATTTTGAAATTTTTAAAAACAAATTAAAGCAATTCCCATCAATTCCTCCCTAGACAAATATATTAATGATAATTTTTACAGCAATACCTTGCTGTAAATTTCAATTCAAGTGATTTGATTTTTGATTTTTTTTGTTTGTTTGTATATTTATGGTTAATTTATCCTCAGAAGAAAAATTAATAAGAAAGTAATTTTATTAAAATTTTATAACTTAAATAATGTCTAGATTCATGTATTGAATCATATAATTGTTTTGAGATATGTATCATATATCATAAGGTCTGTGTGTTATCCCAACCCTATATACCTACATATCACGATGTATCATTTCAGCATTTATTTGTTAGTTTCTATGTTCAAAATTGCTTTTGAGAATTATTTTTACTCATATTGAGATGCCACTGTCCCACCTGCCTGCTAACGTGGAAACAAAACTCCCCTCTGTAACAAAAGAGTGCACCAATGGAGATAATCTCAAAACTTGTGTAGTAGGATCAACTCCTAACAATGCACCACTTTTATATTCATTGCTTAAGGGTTTATTCTTACTAATGAAATAAGTTGTGGTGATGCATATATTTACTGTAAGACATTTGTAATAATGAAGCATTTGTGAGATATACCCTTTATCAGTTATTTACAAACAAGGCATTTGAAGAGGACGAGCACAGTGCATTTTTTTTATCTGAAGTTAAGGTGATTTTAAGCAAAAAAACATTTCTTGTCCATATTTAGAAAGCAAAATATTTTGACTTAGTTTGAAGTTTTTTAAACCCATTAAACTTGTTAAAAAATTAAGTATGTAAACTAAATTTTGAATAAAGAGTTGGTCCTCTGTGTAAAACTTGCTCTGTGAGCAAGTTGAAATTACAATGCCTTTCATGATTCCTTCACAAAAAATGGGGTGATGACCCACAATATTAATAAATGTAGATTGAACATCTTATTTATGTCAGTTATTGTGTTAAATGAGCTTTCAACCATTTTATGCTTTATGGTTTTAAATAATATTTTATATTTCATAAATTAAACAGTGAAATTTCCAAAAAAAAAAAATTTATTGATTTTTAAACTGTTGTTACATTTAGGCATGTGGGTATATGTACATATCCTGTTAAAGTCTTTGTGTATCACATTATATCATGATATACTTCAGACAAATTAGTACACCTGTAGTTTTGAATACAATTCATACATCGATTTCATTTGCCGCAATGGTCTCTTTAATATTGCAATAATGCATTTGGTCTTCCTAATGCATGTATAATGCAGGTACTGTATATACTCTATGTCCAACTTATAGGTGAGTCATAAAAAGATTAGTATTTTGAAACCAGGTTAAAACATCAGAGCATTGATTTGAAATTGTCAATTGATTCTGGCAAAAAGTTGTACCGATTTATAAGCAGGTCAATAGCAAATCCCTCCAAAATAACCTCAAAAAATGCAACTGACTTATAGGTGGACCACCTTATAGGCGAGTATATATGGTATAATAGTTTTTGTTGAATTTTGCTAATAGCAAAACACTATGAATAATGAATTTTGGAAAAAAAGATAATTAAGTTTAATGATGCATGTATGTAGTATAGAAATATTGTTCATATGCCTGTACATGGTACAAATATGCATTTTACAGAGTGTACATATGCCAGAATCATATGGACCGCAGACTGGCCCTGGTGATTCCGTTAAGAAAAAAGAGGAAAAATCAGTGCTTGTGCTCAATGGTCATTGGACAAAGGTAAATAGATTTATTTCATGAAACTAAACATGTAAATTAGTAGGATATTAAAGTATCACAATTAAAATACATGTACTGAATTATATATATGTGGATATCAGTTGGTCTCCTTGATGGAGTTTAATGCATTTGTTATCCCTTTTAAGTGGATCTTTTAAATATTATGCAGTTTATTTAGAAGCTCTTTATTATCTGCACTGTTTACTTTTACAAGGTGTATGCCAGAATTTTTTCAAGAACAGTCTGAATCTGACATGGAAAAAAAGAAGAAACACAGCCTTCCCTGTTTATAAATCTACATTCTGACAAAGGGTAATTTTGTTTAGTTCAATTAGAAGTCATACATGTGATAAGTCAAAGACCACAAAACTGTACAGGAGCCATAAAAAAAACTGGAATTTGGGTGAAAAAACTGTACACTGCCAATTAAAAAACGGTACAAAAAACGGTATAAAATATCACTTAAATTCTTCTGATAAGGCACCTTATTTATAAACCAATAAATATATATTGTTGCAAATGTCTATTTTAAAAGTTGTAATGGAGATTTGAATGCTTTAAAATTTCATATATTGTGTTATATAATCACAATGTTCTTATGAATCAACTATGAATTAAGCTAGTTTAGATGATAGTTTTTTTGCCAGCTTTATATAGTATTAATGTGAGAGTCAATGTCTCCATGCAATTTACATCTTGTTCATATTACTGATATATACATCATCAATGCTAAATAACAGCACCAAATACAATCATACATAAATTTCAGCACATAAAAACTTAAAACGATATGCTTTATTTCAGGGTAATCATGGTAATAAACATCGTGTATTTTATACCTACGGAGATCTGGGTCAGATTCATGTATATTGATTAAGTCATGTATGTCAACTTCAGAAGTTGGCTTAATTTTTTTTCAATCAAATTACGAAACATTAACAGTTATAATTAAGTACCCCTTTAAAAATAAAGCTACCTAAAGGGGTATCTTGATACGGATTTATAACAAGATAATTATCCTAATTGGCAGTTCACACCTTCACACGTGATGGTTTGTGTACACTACACAATTATCAGAAGGTCAAGTGTCAAACACAGGTGACGTTTTCCAGTGTCTCGCGAGCGAGAATGAGAGGAAAATGGTGGCATTTAGCGAGAAATTCAAAATACTGTACAAATTTTCATATTCCGTGAATTTTGGTGTCCCGCCGGTACACGATGAATGGGCTCGAAAAAACGGTACATTTTGCGTACCGCCTGTACATATCACATGTATGAGAAGTGCACATTTAATTTCAGTTGCTTTCCTTGATGATATAGCATTTTTATTCCCTTATGAACAATATGTATACAGTGGCGCCTCGTTAATCCGGACGCCTCTGTCCCAAATGAAATCGTCCGGATAAGTGATTCACTTCTTAAAAGAAGTACCCTCTCAAAGCATGTACATATGAACATAGTGGTATCAAATGTGAAGGCAAAGAAAACACCTTTATTTTACCTTGACTTATTGATTTTATTTTTATAGTTTTAAAAGAAATAATTAATATTTAAAAAATTAAAAAATTAAAATGTAATTTACAAGATGAAAAATGGATAGACAGTTTTATGTTGAGACTTCCTCTTCTAACACAGGAAACTTTACTTGCCTTCTATGTGACGTGTAGTTACATGGGCTGACCAAATTTTGATCTGCTACTGTTTTATTTCGGCACATCTTTTTTTATTCATTCAAGCTCATATTAAGGAGAACTGTTAATTTTCACCATTGAGAATGTTCAAATCACTAACCGCATATATTCACTACATAGGGAAGAAGTAACTAAGTAAGTAACTAAACACTGTAATCAGTGTACGTATTGCAAACATTCAACGTAAATACAAGCCATATTCAGGATTATCAATACTTTTTCTATAAAACTATAAGTTACATACCTAGAAAAAAACGTGATCGGCATTTACAACTAACGCCAGTTACATATTTCTTAGGGCATCAAATAGAAATATATTTTCTTCTGAATTATGTATCATAATAAATTGTCTTATGAAAAGAAAAAAAAGTTTCAAATAATGTACGTTTTGAGAATTGGAAAATCGTATTTTGATAAACTTACGCAACTCAATACCACAAGGAAATCTTGTGATTTATTATTCAGTAAAAAAATTTATTTACAACTCTCCGATATTCTCATAAATTTAAATACCGTTAGCAATTTATTCTATTCTGAACGGATTTATATTTAATTAATGCACAGTTTAAGGCTAGCTAAATTCTTCGGGCTTTATAATATAAAAGACGTGTGTTTTTTCTGAGGTAAACACGCGCTAATTATAGACGCTATTGTTTAGAGGTCACAGGTAACCGCCTTCAAACTGACTCCACGGACAATGTTTTTACAATAATTATTACTACTGCAAGAAAGGTGTGAAAAGTCGTTCCTCGAAAAATCACCGTCCGGATAAACGAGTCATTTTTCAATGAAATATTACGCTTTGTAGTAGAAATTGACCGTCTGGATCCGGAACGAGAATTTCCGGATTAATGAGACGGAATAAAGTGGAAAAAATCAGTTCCCAAAAAATATCGTCCGGAAGGTGAAGTGTCCAGATTATTGGGGTCCGGATTACTGCGGCGCCACTGTACTTGTAAAGCATGTATCACAAAATCTTCTGCAAACAAAGTTTTGGGTGTATATTGTTTGTTGCTTAACGTCCCTCTTGAGAATTTTTCACTCATATGGAGACGCCGCCACTTGCCAATGGAGAGCTGCAAATTTTTGTTCTATACTCAGCACTTACGGCCATTGAGCATTGAGGGATCTTTATCGAGCCAGCTCCTACTGTGACACAGGACCTCGGTTAATACGTCTGTCTCATCTGAAGAACAGGTCTCCACGTTCCACAGTGGGATTCAAACTCGCTATGTAAGGATCAGCTTCTTTCTCCACAACTCTAGAATAGACACTCTAACCACTGCATCTGCTCTACTTTGGCAACTTTGGGTGTATATAAGCATGGGTGTATATAAGCATAGGAATCATCATGTCCATCTGTCTGTTCATGTGTTTGACCACTTGTGTGACTAGCTTTTTTGTTCCAATTCTGGCTGAGATAAATTGATTTAGGTCATCTAAATACAAACAAATTAAGGGAAATTACTATGGTATTGGGATGAACATTCTGGAATACTGTCTCATTGTTCCATTGTAGTTGGTCTCTTTAATGTTGTAATAATGCATCTGGTCTTCCTAATGCATGGCATACACTGTATGCATGTATAATGTTGTTAAAGTTGGCTGAATGTAAAAAAGTTCTTGCGTAATGACAAAGGTAAATAGATTTAGTTCATGTAACTAAACATGTAAATTACTAGGGTATTAAAATCTCAAGTCTTGAATACTGATTTACATGTGGAGAGTAGTTGGTCTCCTTAATGCAGTAATAATACATTTGGTCTTCCTTATGCATACTGTATATTATATAAATTTAATGACTGACATGTACGAGGGTTGATCCAAAAGTTCGTGGAATTTCTTCATATTTTATTAGGTCACCTGAGTCACTCAGGTGACCTATTGCTATCTGTTTTCATCCGTCATTGTGCGGGTGTGCGTCGTGCGTAAACTTTTCACATTTTCGACTTCTTCTCAAGAACCACTGGGCCAATTTCCACCAAACTTGCCACAAACTATCCTTGGGTAAAGATGATTCAAGTTTGTACAAATGAAGGGCCACGCACTCTTCCAAGGGGAGATAATTAAGAATTAATGAAAAATTAATGGTATCTATAAAAATCTTCTTCTCAAGAACCACAGGACCAGGTAAGATTAAACTTATATGGAAACATCATCAGGTTATGTAGACTCAAGTTTGTTAAAATCATGACCCGCGGGGGTAGGGTGGGGCCACTATGGACGATCAAAGTTTTATATAGAAATATATAGGAAAAATCTTTTAAAATCTTTTTCTCAGGAACAGCAAAGCCATGATTGGTCATATGTATATGGAAGCATCCTCAGGTAGTGTAGATTCAAGTTTGTTCAAAGCCTGACCCCCTGGGATAGGGCGGGGCCACAATGGAGGATCAAAGTCTAACATAGGAATATATAGGAAAATTTCTTCTCAAGAACTGCAAAGCCATGATTAGTTATTTTGATATGATCGAAGTTTTACATAGAAATACATAGAAAAAATCTTTAAAAATTTTCTTCTCCAGAACCACTGGGCCAAGAAAAATGAAACTTAACTGGAAACATCCTCAGGTGGTGTAGATTCAAATCATGAACCCCAGGGGTAGGGCAGGGCCACAATAGATGATCAAAGTTTTACATGGGAATACATTGGAAAAATCTTCTTCTCCAGAACCACTGGGCCAAGAAAGATGAAATGTGTAAACATCTTCAGGTAGTGTAGATTCAAGATTGTTAAAACCTTGATCCCCAGGGGTAGGGTGGGCCACAATGGACAATAAAAGTTTTACATTGGAATATGTAGGAAAAATCTTGAAAAAATTCTTTTCTCAGAACAGCAAAGCCATGATTGGTTATATTTACATGGAAACATCCTCAGGTAGTATAGATTCAAGTTTGTTCAGATCATGACTCTGGACTCTGGGGATAGGATGGGGCCACAATGGACGATCAAAGATTTACAAAAGCTCCTTCTATCAGTTTATTTTATACTCTATGGATCTTCTATGGATTTTTGTTTTATACTCAGGTGACCGTTAAGGCCCTTGGGCCTCTTGTTATTTATTAGTGAAAGTGGTTGAATACTGATTTACATGTGGAGAGTAGTTGGTCTCCTTAATGCAGTAATAATACATTTGGTCTTCCTTATGCATACTGTATATTATATAAATTTAATGACTGACATGTACGAGGGTTTATCCGAAAGTTCGTGGAATTTCTTCATATTTTATTTATTTATTAGTGAAAGTGGTTGAAAATTACAAATAAGAATATAGACACTTGTTGAATTTTTTTAATAAAAAATATTTTAAATATTAATGATAGTAACTCTATGGCAGTTGCCATAGCAAAGGATGTTTGAAAATGCAGGTTAGACATTTACTCGTTCATTATAATTTTAATTCTTAATACGTGAAATAAGAAAAAAATCTGCACCAAGTGGCAAATAAAATGAGAATTTTGTCATAATTACGATTGCTTGACCACTAATATACCTTTCTGTGAGAGTTTTACTGATTTAACTTGATATTTAGATTATTAGTTAATGATTTCTTGTTCATCTTTTAATTGTTAGAGAACATTACATTTTGGTCAAGTTATAAGTTTTGTTAAAATCTTGGG